AATTAATTAGCTATGTAAGGTTAAAAAAAATTTAGACGCCAAAAAAACCCTAAACATAAATCTTTGAAAAAATAATTTTTTTTTTCAAATTTTCGCTTTCCAAATCCCTCCCGATTTTCTCGAAAATCACAACAATGATGATGAAACTACCGTTCTAATCTATAAGAAACTTTACAGCTTTTTAGAAGACTGTAAAATTACACCTGATGGCAGAAACTTGGCCTATGTGAATAAATTAAAACCGGAAATATACAATTAATCAATTCAAGAGTTTTAATTATTTCATACTAAGTTTTCAATAAATCATTTTTCTAGCTTGAAAGTAGAACAATCCAGCTTTCCAGTGGTTGCATTAACTTGGATAAAATCCAGAGGAGTTATACATTTTAGGTGGAATAACAACGCCTGCGTAAAAAGCCAATTCAGTCCAAATTTTTTCTATTTTTTGGTTTGCTATAAAAATTCGTATTTATGGGCTTTGACGGGTGTTTAAAACGAATCCGATTTTTTATTTCACAAATGTTTTTTCTATTTTTTTTAATATTTAATTTCATTTAATACAATCCTGCATATTATTTTTTAGTCCTAGATAAAAATAAATAAATCGAATGATATATAATAAAATATATGACCAACAAAAGCAGGAAAACATATTTAAAAAAATTGTTTAGTTCTTAACAGTGCTTTTTTGCCCTATATGGGCAGATATGCAATATTTTTCGACTTAGTATCACCTAAAAATGTTTCATTAAAATTTGTTATCCCATGTCCATCACAGTTTTGTACTTCCATATTGTTTTATATTATGTTAGGAGTAATTACGATCCCAACAAAAACCTAACCCTAACCTTGAAAAAAGGGAGATCCAGGCCCCTCCAAAAAATTATCCTATCAATGTAATACCTACACTGTGGCCAAGTCCATTGTTTTTTTTTAATCCATAGCTCAAAAGAAAAGAAAAGTTCCATGCTCCCGCATAAATAAGTCGGCCTTTCAAAGTAGTGGTATCCACATTGTGTCCAACCTCATTTCACTTATAATTTTTATCGCTTAACCCTTGCAAGTTGCAAAATAAAGATTAAAACATCATTGCTCATTAAGAAACTGGTCAAATGTTAAGCAATTAAAATAAAAGAACAGTGTTGCTGTGTAGATATCATTACATCAGCAGGCTAATTTTCTGGAGGGGTCTGAAACTTGGCCCTTTTTTACACCATACATTTTTTCGCTTCAGCATATGGTGGACGTCGTGTAGGAGGGATACCTTTTCATTTTGATTTTGAGACAACCCCCATCCAGCCACTCCTAAATTGATTTTGAGAAAATTGCAATTTCAAATTTTTACCTATTTGACAATATAAGACATACCTTTGTACCAAATTTCGTTTTTTTTTGGAAAATTGCAATTTTCAGATTCTTGCCTTTTTTCCAATGTAAGTCCTACTTTTGTACCAAATTTCTTGTTCCTGCCTATAAGGGAAGTGCCTTCTAATTTTTGTCCTGAGACTACGCCTTTTCTGCCCCCAAACCTGCACTAGTTTTGAGAAAATTGTCATTTTCAGATTTTTTCCTTTGCTTACTACTATAAAACAAAACTATTTTAACCGAATTTCATGTTTCTAGCTATTCGGAAAGTATCTTATAATTTTGATAATCAGTGACTCAATAACAAACCTGCAAATTTTGAAATTACCCATTTTCAAAAGTGCCCAAATTTTCCTATTTCAAAATGTTCTGATTAGCTCAAGCTTAATTTATGTTTCAAATTTCAAAAGCCCATATTAAGGGGAAGCAGAGATATGAGCTTTTTTTTGATGATGTACAAAAAGAAAAGTTCAATCGCATATTTTCGGCATCCAAAAAAGTTAGTAATAAAGTGCACGGCCTGTATTGGGTGTATGCATGTCTTTTCGCTTTTCGGGAAAAAAGTCGCTCAAAATATAAATGTATTTTATTTTTAATAGAATAATTTCCTTCGTTTTTATAACATACTGCCAACGTACAACGCATCCTGCGTTCTGGTATCAGAAATATCCTTTAAAAAAGTCTGATGACCTGTACAAGCAGAAATCTGCAAATGCGATTGTCAGAGCCTATTAGTTAAAAAATTGCCATTTAATTGGCCGTCTAGGGAACGGAACAAGTAAAAATCTGAAGGGTCGAGGTCTGGAGAGTATTTTGGGTGGGGCAACTGTAGCCAGCATAAATCGGCGATTTTACTCTGATTGAGTGTAACAGCCTTGTTGGACCTGAATTTCTCATGGTGAAACAAGACGTTCCATTCCACCAGGGTTGGACGTTTTTCCTTCTCCCCAAAACGCTCTAGCACTATACTCCTGGACACTATACTCTGCCAGACTGTAACTGTGTCCTATATCCCACCAAACAGAAATAGGACCTTACGTGGGAGCAATCTTGCTCTTGACGTCGATGGCGGAGGTTCATTCTTTGTGCAGAGTCCATCGGCTTATAAAGGATCCACTTCTCGTCCCCAGTGGCCAAATAGGAATTAAACCCTTCCGATTTGTTCAGGTACGATGCTATACGATCTTCCTTGTTCTTGAGGAATTCATGGTTAACCCATGAATCGAGTTTCACAAGGTAACACAGCGATCCTCTTTCTATTGCGCGATGTACCTGAAATCTCTCAGATAGCTCTGCTATAGTTAATTTGTTGTCATCATGCATTACCACTTATGTCATCGCTTTTAGGTGTCTTTCATTAGGTATTCAAGAGGCTGGTCTTTCATTAATCTCTCTCCGTTATGAAAACGTCGAAACCATGTTGAACACGTTCAGTTATCACCGTAAATTCATCATAAATTTCCAGAGGCATCCGCCACCCTATATCCGAGATGGAACTCGTATAGCAAGGAATACCTCAAATGAATTTTATCTGCTTCTGTATCGTGCACGACGGATTTATTCTAGGCTGACTTTTGGGATCACCCCTTTCTTTCTCTTTCTCTTTTGCCACCCTAGAGCTAACGGGACTGGAAGGCAGGGATGAAAGTTGGAATTTGAAAAAAAAAACTTATGCACACAGCCAACAAATAGGACTTCTTTGGGACCCATATTGCCAGAACATTATATGTATTTCCATTAAAAAATCTTATAATCTTTTTTAATTTTTTTTTTACAATACTTTCGTTAATGAAAAAGTTAATGTTATTGGCTTATTAAAAATCTAAACTTGTCACTCTCTTATGTAAAGGAATAAATGTTTTTTGAAAAGTGCCTTCGGTAAAACATTGATTAAATACTTTCAATTAATTAATCTTTATATAGGGTATTGGTTGAAATGAAAAAGCTAGTGTCACGAGCGGGATTCGAACCCACTACCGTCGGCTCAATACGGCCCTGCTGTACCACTTGTGCTATCGTGACTTCGATCCACTCGGACACCAACTTCCCATCTCAACCTAAATTTCGAATTTTCCCTCCTTTTTGCCATTTTTCAATTTGAAATGACAATCCTTTTTGACATTTGAAAAATGGCAAAAAGGAAGGCAAAGTTGAAAGGTAAGTTGAGATAGGTAGTTGGTGTCCGAGTGGATCGAAGTCATTATAAGTCAAGTGGTAGAGTAGCGACGTATTTAGCCGAAGGTCGCGGGTTCGAATCCCGCTCGTGACACTAGCTTTTTCATTCCAATCAATATCTTACATAAAGATTAATTAATTGAAAGAAGTTATTTAGTCAATTGGACAATATAATATAATTTGGTTAATTAGACAATATAATGGATTGATTAAAAACGTTGCTTAAAAGAATCTGTTCTCCTTCTGATCATTCTGAAACGGCATTGGGTCAATTGTTGGGTCTTCACTCCCTGGTTTGTCTAAGTACTCAAAGGCGTCGTTTCGGCATCGCGCCATCTTCAGTGAGGAACTGTCAATCCCTTACATTATTGATCGGTTATATCGTTTACAAATAAGCTCACAGTAGTTAATAAGTGAACGATGGTTACTGATGGTTGAGGATGGTTAGTTATTAATGTACCAAGATAAAAAAAAAATTGGCGATGGTTACAACTAGTTCTGAGTAGTTTTAAGGTGATATGAATGCTTATCGTTTTTGATGCTAAAGTTAATATTGTTATGCAACGTAAGATCAAGATGGAGATGGACCTCGAAACGTCTCAAGAGGTGTTTGGGGAAATCCCAAGTGGAATTTTCGCTTCTTTAATAATTGATATATAAAAAAAGGAAGATTATGCCTGTTTTTTAGACCTGCTGAAGGCCAGTTAAGAAAAACAAATTCAAAATTCAGTCGTGTTCAAGTTTTTTCATACTTGACTCACCTTATCGGAGAATATGATCCGGGATCATAAATCGCCAGGATTTTTTCAGCACGTGATAGTTATGTCTTAGTTCGTCTTAGTTATATGTACTTAGGCCTAGTCTTTAAACATGATTGTTCTCTATGTTGAACAAAGGGCCGATGGGTTCGCTGTTTTTTCTTTTTTTTTCTTTTTCTTTTTGACTTCGACCCATTGATGACACGGGTCGTCCAAGCGGTTCCAAAAACCCAAAAACGGCACTTCATTTTAATATAAAACAGTGGCGTCTGGCTACATTATCAAACTTTTCCCATTAAATTAAGGCAAGTGGTTATTGGTAATTTATGGATGATTAAGTGTGCTAGGTTAGAAGATACATGTTTTAGAAGCTAATTTTTATCCAATATAATTAATATTAAGCCTTCAATACTATATACATATTAAAAATCAGACATAAGTTTAAGTTCCTCCATCAAGTTTTTTCAGGACTTGAAAATATAATTAATAATTTGCAAGAGTATATTTACAATGTATAAGTATAATGATATGGATTAAGTTTACAGTGGGTGAGATCAAACATGATCAGTCCATTGCATAACAGAAATAAAAAATTGAAAGTTATGAATGATTTGTCTTTGTATTTTTGACAATAAATAATAAATTAAATATAAAAAATATGAAAATTAATATGTATATGTTTTAAGTCCTGTTGAGTCTCACCTGGGGTACTTGACAAAAAAGTTGATCTCGATTTGGGGGTTGAAAAAACACGCGTTCACATTTCAGGAAGGCGCGTTGCGACAGACCCGCGTACAAGCGAAGAATGACGGCCCGCAGGGGCCAGGGGATGGTCGGTTGGTGGGGCGGCTCGTCGGGCCGAGTGGGGAGCCTCTTCCCCTTCACCTATTTAAAACTATAAATAGAAGTAATAGCACATGCGCTGCCATTCGTGTTCGTTCTTTGGTCAATAGAACGTCTTCTTTAACAATATAAAACGGCACCGCCTGGCGGTGAGGAAAGGGGTGAGCTGTTCCTTTTGAAAGATCGTCAAGCTACGCCATCCTCTCTTTTGATTCATTAAGACACATTAAACTATCAGAATGATGTTATAGCGTTAGGTAGCCAAAGGCAATAACGGAAACCAAAAGAGCGAAGGAAGTGAGTTGGGGTTGATTCGAACCACGAAGAATCTGACCTACTCTTGACATCCAGAGTAGTGAGTAGGGATGTTCATTTCCTTCAGGAATTTTGAAGGAGGTGCTTATAGGTGTTGTCATGCTCGTGTTATGACAATATTGGATCCTTAGGGTCAGTAGGTTAAAGATGGATGGTAATGAAAAAAAATTGTGTTTATGGATGATACCGGATTAAAGGTTAAAAACGGTTGATTGATGAGTCGGAGTAAGTTGGAGATGGTTAATTATGATTGGTTTTCGGGTGATGGGTAACAATGTATTGGGATGGATGGTAACATAAGGATAGTTAGGAATTCACACCTATCAATGAGTACCTTAGACAAAAGGACAAAATGAAAATGACGAAACAATGGAATTCACTCTTTGGAGACAAGCAGTCCAAGTACCTTCTTGCAAATTTTGGAAAGAAACATTCAGCAGAATGTATCAAAGGAAAAAACTTTAAATACTAACAGAATTCTTAACAGGACACTCCAAAAAGATTAGTATAAGCTAACACGGCGCATGCAGATTATGCAAATAAGCGGGGGAGACACCGACATTAACAAACTATGGTGACACATTCGTCCTCATAAGGAAGTGTTTTGGGATGTAAAATGACCGTAGAAGAAATTCTACCACTGAGACCGGGCCTACTGATTAAGTACTTTAATGAACTAGGACTCACCGGTGTGCTATAACCACAGAACTGAGGATATAATAGTTCACAAGGGTTCAGTAGACATTACACCCCATTAATACATCTACATCTATACGGTAACTTAAAGATTGTTACTGACGGTCAATTAGTTCTAGTTATGGATAATTCAGGGGAGTAAAAAAGATGGTTGTTGATCATGGTAGTGAATACGGATACAGGAATTCGGGTCTTTTTTTGTTCCCAAAGCAATACAGCCTTTTGGTTTATACTTCCCAGTTCAGTGCAATCGACTCGATCCTTTTCTTAAGAAGCACTATGTCATTGGCTGTTGTTGCTACAATTCTTTTCCCTGGGTTTTCTTTGTACCCCAGGTTTATGTTTCCATTGAGCAGTTGCTGATGGTGTGGGTGTCTGTTTCTTCCTCCTCAGAATAATAGTAAATAAAAATAGAAAAGGTTTTAAAATGTCCTTGTAGATTTGACTATTCTATCACTTTAGTATGATATGTAATATGAAGTACATAAAAAAATTATCTCATAAATAAATGTATCGTCGGAAATGAAGGAAAGAATCAAATACCTAATGCATTTTCTGTATTAAACATTTCATTCATTCACTTATTCCTGTCGCTCACAGTTCTTCAAAGTTCTTCCACCCCTCTATGCCAGCTCTACCAAGACTTCCTGACTGCCGTAAGTTTCTTTCCCAGTGATAGTCTCCACGTTTGCCTCGGTCGTCCAATCTTGAGTCGCCCTTGCGGGTCCCACTCTAGGAACGGCACCGTCCATTTTTCTCATGCCCTATTCATATCCATTTTCTTTTACATACTGCAGCATGTATGGCAAGCTGGCCGGTTCTAAATTGACGTTCAGGCCACAATATTCCGAAAATCCGCCCCAGGCGATTGAAAAAACCTGGAGCGTACTCACGTAGATCTATATACATACGACTAACATGACATTTGTTTTAAGAGCCGAAGTTTGGTTCACCTGAAGATGGGTTTTTAAAATCCATATCGGATATAATTGTATAAATTTACAATTGGCTTTCCTGATTCTTCTCTTCATATCGTCCTCAGTACCTCCAAATTTTAACACCGGATTTCCTAGGTAGGTAAAGGATCAACTGCTTCAAGTTTGTCGTCATCCAGCTTTTCCTTTGGTTTTTGGCATTTATTTTGAAGCCTACTGCTTTGACACGTAAGTCGCATATCCTTGGTGCTAATCCTACAGTGTCGACGTCAATCTTTCCATTTTCCATTAAACGCCAATTTTCCTTACTTTCAGGGATGCACGCTTGACAGCATTCAGTGATGCAGGATAAAGAGAGTGGTGGGATGCATCCTTGCTTTGAACTGTTCTGAAAGCTTCCCTTGACGGTTGTATCCTCGGTACGTCCATTTAATAAAGTTAATGATTTTTGTGGGAATGTTATATCTTTCCAGAATGAGTGTCCAAGATCGAAGGCCTTTTAAAAATCTATGAAGGCCAGATTCACCTGGCTCTGTATTTAACATTTGGGATGTGTTTTTGTATCCAATCATCGTTTGTTATTAATATACTCCGAAAACATTTGGTTTTACATAGGATTTTTCATTTAACCCGCAGCTAGTTTGTCTTTTTTCTTGATACAACTTAATTTTGATTGGTTTACGTTTTGTGATTCGATTTTGTTAAACGACTTTGTGGAAGGCAGAACGTCCCAATTTTGCAGGGCAGGAAGTACAAAGGCGATAACAGCCAGGCAGGAAGGAGATAGCGAAAATGTATCTTTTGCATGATACTACGTACGTTTCCAAAAAATTTTTCACACACGATTTCGCTTTGTTTCACTCAACAATAAAATTTTATAAAATTTATAAAAACCGCGCGCTACTACAGAGTATAAATAACAACTCTCGACTTTGATTGATTAAATAAATCCAACAGTTGACAAATAATAGTACAAGTTGATCAGAACGGGTGATGAATGTAGAAGAATGTGGGCCAGTCGTTTAAAAGCAGAATTAGTACCTTTCGACTACTGTTACTACTAGTACAACGGCTATTAAATACAACCACAAACTACCTCTACAACTGTACAACTATGAACTGCACGATTGTCCTATTTCAAGCCCGACTGACCAAATACAACTAATTTATGTCTAGCTCTAACGCAAACTCATCTTCAACCGTAGTATGCACTACTAACCACTCAAACGTACTGCAACTACAACTACAGAATTTTTTCTACGTCTATATCATAGCTTACTGTTTCACTACAACTGTTCTAATTTAAGTACGAACACAAACTTGTTACAAGTACAACTTAACCGACACACTCAAGATGGCAAAATGCTGACAAATGCCGGTAGACCAACCAGCGAGGATAGGCGGACCTAGATAATCAGGTAGATAATCAAATTACAGATTCATCGACCTGCAGTGCACAGGAAGAAATCTCAAGACGCCTTAGACGTTAAAAGTTTACGGCCTCTTTACAATCTTACGCGACCAATATTGGTCTAATCTCCATCATTGTCTAGAACTCTTCGTTAAGCTTAATACGCTTTACAAGATTGCAAAGCTTTGTTAACTATTAACTTTGGGATCACATTGTCAACAATCCTAAAACTATTCAATGCTAAACATCGACATTTGTTATTTGTTTTACAACAACTGTACGAAATACTCCTTTGGTAAGTTTAAACCTTCCGATGGTATTCTGCTTTCGTCATCTCTACAAACTTCTTCCGAAACTGCCAATACAGCCATACACTGCTATAAGACTTTGTAACCAGGAACGACTAATACAACTGGCTACTAATGCTTAACTGGCATAAGGTCACTGTTAGGGGTCGCGAGTTTGTTGAGTTATTCAAACACGTTTCGACTTTGCACGATCTTCAGTAAGGAACTTTCTATCTCTTAAATTGATCGGTTACGTCGTTTATAAAGTTGTCGTTCCATGTTCAACATACTTACTTAATTAGTCTACTGTGTACCTATCTTACAATTTATCACTGTAAATAAATAAATAAATAAGTGCCTAATTTACAATAGCTTGACTTATTGCCTTTAGCTTTTCGAAAGCGAGCTTTTCTTTTATTGGGTCATTTAATTTTGGTGGCCATCTTCCACGAAACAACAATTTCACCGGTTCTATCGCGGGTTCTAAGAGAACACTGTTGAAAATCCTATGTTGGACACTGTCTTCCACTCCGCACTCGGGACAAATGGGGCTGGGTAACTTTTTGAATTTGTAGAGGTATGCTCGGAAATTTCCGTGTCCTGTTAACACTTAAGTTACCCAGAAATCCGGTTTAACCCACTTAGCCTCTCTCTGATTTCTGGGAAGTACTCGAAAGTCAGTTTCCCTTTAGTACTGTTTTCCCACCTGTTCTGCTATATTTTGTCCATCCACTTTTTTTATGAAGACCGTACGTTGCTTTGGTGGTGCCTGCTTTAATACGCGCTCGTGGTATTCTGTGCCTTCCAGGTCCGGATCATGACCCTCTTTTATCTGTCTGGCAGCAATCCGACCTCGGAGAACGATGTCGATCGGCTGGGCATACGCTATAACCTGGAGCGCGTGTATCGAGGTCGTCCGGTACGCTTTGGTTGACAGTTAAGCTATCACTGCTTGCATCCGCCGGCAATTCCAGCTTTTGTACTTGACAATAAATTACAGGCTGGAGAATCAGCCACTCCAGTGTTGGCAGTCCGGTTGCAGACCTCGTCTTAGCCGTCCAGCCACAACAGGTCATTCCAGTTTCCAACGTAGTCAGTTACTAAATTCAAACTCTTTTACACTCTCAAGCATTCTTAAAATTGACTTTCCTATTTACAGACCATGCTCTCAGAAGGAATATTTAGTACTCCATCACCCTTTACACCTATTGTATAATTAACCTAATTGAGGTCAATGGGGTACTCAATATTCCGCCATCGACCCTCACATACTTCACCTTCACTCTCAACACACTCTCTCACACACAATGCAACACACTAACAACCTTGTTTCCTTCAAACCTAGAAACTAGCTGGCGTACTCAACCACAATTCTCCTCGTATCGGGTGGCATTCCTACGCGCTCTCTATATAGAGCCAAGGAATTGCATTCTTGAATTAGGTGGAACTCATGGAGCAACCTTCCTCTGCATGCCGCACAAGTACGCGAGCTTTGGCCCAAAAGTAAGTGCCGTGTGTCAACCTCGCCTACTCTTAATCGGGTGATTGTGGAAATCTCTACATCCTCCAAGTAATAGGTGTTAACTCGAGTTACATGCAATAACACGAAGTTGTCCCAAATAAATGGAGCGAATGAGCCCTCAGCTTCCAGAAGAACTTCGTCAAAGTACTAATCGGACAACCGAGAAGATCTCACCTGGGCAGATGCTTTGGCTAAATCCTGGATGTGCCGCACTCTACCATCTTTTATATGATAATCACGGTAATAGACGTCGATTCCTCCCCATACCATAACGGAATGTGGGAAAAGTCTGTTGACTCAGACGTGGTATCTCCAGGTCACCTCCAAACACGGTCCCGGTAAGCGATAGCCACATACCGAACCGGCACTCATGAAAAGATGGTTCGTGTCCAAGCAAGATGCAGAAGTAGAGAACCTGATGTGGGACGTCTAGAGTAAGCTATTCTCACGAAGCCTTCTGATGACTTTTTAGAGCTCACACTTACAATACGGACCGTTTGGAGTTGACTAACAAGAAAACCGTTAAATGACGGTTATAATAATAAAACTATCGTCTCTAGCCGTTACGGTCGACCACTACCTTAGTACCTTCTCTCGATCGTGACTTCCAGCGTCTTTAGACCACCGTGGTAGAGCGTGGCACATCCAGGACTTAGCCGAAGCATCTGCCCGGGTGATATCTTCTCGACTGTTTAGATTTTAGCCTGCTGGTCTCACTTATACGCAAAATTCTGTTTATTTTAAATACAAATCGGGCTGGATTCGGTTATTTATTTTAAAAATAGCGGAAATTCCATTAATTTCTTTGACCTCCACTAGGAGAAAGCTCTGTGATCTGTGACTGAGGTTTCAGCTTTTGCTATACAACATAACTTTGGTGTATGGAAGTGAAGTCTGAATAATTTTTAAGAAAAATGTCCAGGAGGTGTTTATTAAAACAATGCTATGTAAATTAATGTGGCTTTATGATCTATTTTGTTAAATTATTTGTTTTTTTGAACAACCAAATATATTTAACATTATTTACAATTGTTCTGTCACATTATTTTACAATGGTTTTGTTTGTTTTATTATATAACTGTTTAAATATATAGTTGTTTATGTCATAAACGTTCTTGTTATTTAATTTTACCTGTTTTTCTTAGTGTGATAATTTTATCTGAGAAGTACAAATTTGACTTGACACTGTAAAATATCCAGTCTTGGATATCTTCTAATATTATTGTTTATTTCTTTATTGCAGAGAAAAGTTGCAATGTATGCGACAAGTGTGGCAAGACGTACACGCACAGGTATACGCTGCGCAGGCACATCAACTACGAATGCGGTGTCCAGCCACGCTTTCAGTGCCAAGTCTGCTTGAAGAAGTTCAAACAAAAGTCCAATCTCAAATCACATTACATCACTTGTCATTTGAATTAATTATACTTTTTTTATTTAGTTATTAAATTTTTTGAAATATTTTTTCTTTAATATTGTTTATTTTGTACTGACTCTCGTCCTGCGGTTGTGGGAGAAGTTAGCGCCGTAGCTTTTCACCTTGAATTTTGTCTTTTTGGTATCTACGACGGAGTCGATCGAGTATTTCCATCCTCTTTCTTGTGCAAACTTTACGGCAGATTCTCTGTCGGGGAAATACAACGAGATGTTGGAGAATGAGTGGCCGCTGGAAGAACATTTTGTCAATGTTGTATGGGCTTTTTTGTTCATGGTATGAGAATTTACCTGGAACACCATCCCATTGTTGGGTTGACCCAGCGTTGCTTCGTGTCGAACGACATCTCCCAGTAACCAGTGTTGTCGGTTCCTTGCTGCGTTACGATTTTTGTAACTGGTTTAATCAATGCTGTCGAATTTTTTGAGTACATCTCAGCGTACTGTTCCAAATGTGACATCTAATACAAATAAACATGCTGTATGTAGGGTTTTAATTCCAACAAAACAATCAGGCATTTATTCAATTAATTTAAACTCAAGTCATTTCTGAAGAGGAAGCCTGTATTTAATTGAATAATGATCCTGGTATTTTTTTATTGAAAATAAAACTAGATAGTATGGCTGCACAGAAACCAAAATAAATATAGATAAATATAGGGGGAAAAAGGAAACCAGCATACATTTACAGTCTGTTTGACTTCAATCTTTTCGTTGGACGTTTCCATCTGTTCCAACGGTGCTTGTTCCGCCTCCTTCAGCTCCAAGGCGGCTTCCTTCATCTCGGACCATTCCTTGCATTCTGTCTTTGGAGGCTCGTCACTCATAAAACGCTTTTGAATGCATCTGGAACCAACAATGTATCAGGTCTGTTTTACAGAACATACTTGATTGGTTTCACCTCAGGGCAATACGCTTTAGCATTTTACTCTAAGAAATATTCAGAATAAACCTTTTTCCAAGGCTATTTAGCCAGATTTGGGGTTACTCAATCAAATTTGACCTGTGGAAGGCTTCTAGTTAAAAACCAGATGATTTTTCAAACAATTAAACTACTTTAAAAACAAACAAAAAAAGTTATAAAGAGGAAAAGGCAATTTCTATATTTCTCCAATCATCTATCAAAAATTAAAATTAATTAAAAGTAAATTAATTTCATTTAATTTAGAAAAAAGTATATCTGTTACCATAATGAAGTTTTTTTTTTTAATTCCACCTTTTTGTATATATTTTGTATTGTTTTAATTGTGTGGATTTGTATCATTAAAAGCAGGAGCGAGTTTTTTTTTTCTTTTATTTTTTTATTTTTTGGATCTCAAGACAGGTTTGTGCTGTGACCTGGGGCGTCGGACTGTGGTTCAGCTCAGTGCTTCGAGCCCATCTTGATGCTTTGTCCAATTGCTGAATCGAAGAAGTTCGGCGAGAAGCACAAAGCTCGACGTTAAAACTCGCATAATCAGCTTTCTTCAGCTTCTGAAAAGGCGAATAAGAATAAATATACAGATGTGTTTCCATGTTTAAACAAAAGCTTTAAAACCTGGTGATTTTATTTTATGATTATTACTAACAAATTAATTTTCCAGCCATGAGACAATTAAGGGACAAAATCAATCAATGGAATTCATTTATACTATAATCTTAAACTTAAGCATATAGTACAAAAATATAATAATAATAAACTTTATAACTTAACAGCTTAAGCTAAATGTACAGTTTAAGCTTATAATGAGTATCTTGAATGTTTAAATTTACAATTTAATGTTTTTTCAACTGAATTTTTTAAATTTTTAATTATAATTGTAGCATTTGATCAAGTGCTTTGTAAAACACACATGCTATGTATAACACATAAAATTACAAATGAACAGGTTGCAATAAATTCGGATGACCTACGATTATGAACATACTTGGAGTGTGCTTTTTTCAAAAAACTAAAACTCTCCTCGTGCCTCTCCGCTCACTTCTCATGGCATGAGAATAGCTTTAATGAAGTTGCTATGCCCTAGCCGGTCTAGTGCCTCGCGTTAACAAAGAATTCAGAGAGTCGACATGCTTCTGGTTCTGCTTTGCGTACATTCTCTAGGTTAAAAGCGCAGTGTCCGGAATAAAGGCCTATAATTTTTCTCAAATCTTGTTTGCTTACAGATAAAAAACAGAAGTTCCTTCAGCTTTCTTTTTAAAATATTTAAAAATTTACTTTTGCCCAGTGGTTTTTCCAGCGTATTCTCCAGCGCCCCAATCTTTGATTCGAGTCTCAAGGGTGAGAGTGCTGCCCCTTCTTTGGCTAGTCGGACAGCCTGTTTGTTTCCTGCTATACCTTTAAGTCCTGGAATCCACCTCAAGGTAACTTTGTTGTGTTTTCCTAGAGCCATTAGGCAATATTGACCAGACTAGTTTGGAACTAAAAGCATACACATTTAGCACCTTTATAGTCTGACCTTCATAGTCTAAAAGTATGTACATCCATGCACCTTATTTTTCTTTATCAACACCTACGCACTTTTACTCTCATACATATAGCTTAAGTTTACAACTTATTCTTACATTTAACAGATACAATTTAATCTTACAGTTTATACATTAAAAATGTCCACAATCTAACTGTACAAGTTTAGCTTATTATTGATCCTTACAAAATAATCTTAAAGGTTAAAGGGTAAACTATAACTTAAGACAATCTTACTATACAACTTGAGCTGAATTTTTAAGTTTACAACTTAACCTTACGGTCTTATGGTTTAAAATTAAAACTTGTATCATATTGAACAATTGAAAGTTAATCTTTACATTGTACAACTGAAGCTTAATGATTTATCTTTACAACATAACCTTAAAGCTTAAATTTATGACAAAAGGTAAATCTTTAAACTGTACAATTTAAGCTTATTACAGACTTACAATTCAACTTATGTTTAATATTTACAGTTACAACGTCAGTTTTTTATCATATTGAATAACTCAAAATTAATATTTAAACACAACTCAACTTTACTGATTTATCTTTACAACATAACCTTAAAGCTTCAATTTATGACAAAAGTTTAATCCTTCAACGGTACAACTTATGGCCTAACACTCTCAACACGACACACAACCGTGACACATTTTCATAGAAAACACACAGTTCGAGTGAGTACAAATACTTTGATTAAACCTAAAATTTCTACATTGTGTATTCATTTTCACATCTTACAGGTATTTGAATAATTTAAAAAATGTTTATAAATCCCAGGCCCTGAAGATGATCTCAATAAAGATCAAAACATTGGCGTGATAAAGAAAGTGTTTTTCTAAACCTACATCATACCATACCACATCTCACGATCTCTAATAATCTCTAATAATTAATATTGCACTACTTAAGCGTGTCGGTTTAATTTTACAACTTAAGCTTACAGTTAACCCATTCCTGTGTGCTAACTTAAGTCCAATATATGTCCTAAAACATAACAAAACAATACAAAAAGAAAACCAATTAAATAATTAATTTAAATTGTTTAATGAAGACGTCACAACTCAGTAAATATAAAAACTTAATTAGAGTAGTGGCGATTGATGAAATCTGCTGTCAAATATAAACAATAAAATAAAATAATTGCTTTTATTTTAATATACAATTTTATGCTTTTGTTAAAATATAGTTTTTTATTGTTTTCAGTGTGTAAATTGGTTTTATGAATGAAAGTTAGTTGAATAAAAGTTTGAAAATTAAATAAAATGGTGGCTTTTTTTAAATACAACTTTATGCTTTTGTTAAAATATAGTTTTTGCATTATTGCTTTGTTTTTTAAATATTGTTTTTAGTGTGTGAATTGGTTTCGTGAATGAAAGTTAGTTGAATAAAAGTTTGAAAATAAAATAAAATGGTGGCATTTTTTTGTTTTTTATTATACACTTTTATGCTTTTGTTAAAATATAGTTTTAAAATTGTTTTTAGTGTACAAATTGATTTTATGAATGAAAGTTAGTTGATTGAAAGCTTGAAGTTAAAATAAAAAAGTGGCTTTTTTTATTACCCACTTTTATGTTTTTGTTAATTTTTTTTTAAATTTATTATAACTGTTATTTTTTAATTGTTTTTAGAGTACAAATTGGTTGTATGAATGAACGTTAGTTGAATAAAAGTTTAAAAATAAAATAAAATGGTGCCTTTTTTTAATATACATTTTTATGTTTTTGTTAATTTTTTAAAATTTTTTTATAACTGTTTTATAATTGTTTTTAGAGTATAAATTGATTTTATGAATGAAAGTTAGTTGAATGAAAGTTTAAAAATAAATAATTGGTCAAGCGGACCACGAAATTAGTGAATTTAAAAATAAAATAAAATGGTGGCTTTTTTGTTAAATACAACTTTATGCTTTTGTGAAAATATAGTTTTTGTATAACTGTGTTTTATTAATTGTTTTTAGTGTAAAAATTGGTTTTATTAGAAAAGGTTTGAATAAAAGTGTGAAAATAAAATGGTGGCTTTAATATACTCTTTTATGCTTTTGTTAAAATATAGTGTTTTAAAATTGTTTTTAGTGTACAAATTAATTTTATGAATGAAAGCTTGAAAATATAATTAAAAATGTGTTTTTTTAATATACATTTTTATGTTTTTGTTAAAATATAGTGTTTTAAAATTGTTTTTAGTGTACAAATTGATTTTATGAATGAAAGTTAGATGAATGAAAGCTTGAAAATACAATTAAAAAAGTGTTTTTTTAATATACTTTTATGTTTTTGTTAAAATATAGTTTTTTAAAATTGTTTTTAGTATACAAATTGATTTTATGAATGAAAGTTGGTTGCTTTAATGTACACATTTATGCTTTTGTTAAAAAATAATTTTTTTTATTATTAGTTTTTGTTTTTTTTTAATATTGCTTTTAGTGGTTAAATTGGTTTTATGAATGTAGTTAGTTGAAAGAAAGCTAGAAGTTAAAATAAAAAAGTGGCTTTTTTTATTATACACTTTTATGTTTTTGTTAAAATATATTTTGTTTTATTATAACTGCTTTTTGAAATTTTTTTTAGTGTACAAATTGATTTTATGAATGAAAGTTAGATGAATGAAAGCTTGAAAATACAATTAAAAAAGTGTTTTTTTAATATACATTTTAATGTATTTGTTAAAATATAGTTTTTTTAAATTGTTTTTAGTGTACACATTTATTTTATGAATGAAAGCTAGTTGAAAGAAAACTTGAAATTAAAATAAAAAAAGTGGCTTTTTTTAATATACACTTTTATGTTTTTGTATTATCCTGTTTTATTAATTGTTTTTAATGTAAAAATTGGTTTTATGAGTGAAAGTTTTGAATAAAAGTGTGAGAATAAAATGGTGGCTTTAATATATACTTTTTTGTTATTGTTAAAATATATTTTGTTATTATTACTGTTTTTTTAATATTGTTTTTAGTGTGTAAATTGGTTTTATGGATGAAAGCTTGAAAATACAATTAAAAAAGTGGCTTTTTTAATATACATTTTTATGTTTTTGTTAAAATATATTTTGTTTCATTATAACTGCTTTTTGAATTTTTTTTTAGTGTACAAATTGATTTTATGAATGAAAGTTAGTTGAAAGAAAGCTTGAAATTAAAATAAAAAAGTGTCTTTTTTTAATATACACTTTTTGTTTTTTTATTATATTGTTTTTTATTAATTGTTTTTAGTGTAAAAATTGGTTTTATGAGTGAAAGTTTTGAATAAAAGTGTAAAAATAAAATGGTGGCTTTAATATATACTTTTGTGTTTTTGTTAAAATATAGTTTTTTATTATTACTGTTTTTTTAATATTGTTTTTAGTGTGTAAATTGGTTTTATGAATAAAAGTTAGTTGAATAAAAGTTTGAAAAGTGAAGATTTGGCGCTGCGGTCAGCGCGTGCCGCTGGAGTTCGCCCCGTTCGCCGTTCAATAATCGCCTGCACGGATTGGAAAATCTGTAAAGGAAAATCGTGGAAAACCTTTTCCCAATTCTTTAAAATCGGCCTTTTCGAAAAAAGAAAAAATCATTTTTCGTCCAGCCGCGTCAGTTTGTCAAACCGTATTTAACACGGGATCGTAAAACGTCGAGACGGTGCCGCCCGGATCGATCAGTATCTCACTGTCGGCGGAGCGCTTTACGTCTCGGCACCGGTCGACGGACAATCGGTGGATCTTTTCGTCGGCTTTTCCGTGTTTTCTTTTTTTTCTACCCGGCACAAAACCCAGGAACGGCGCCGTTTTTCCACGTGAAAATGAACCCGGCGTGGACGCCGGACAGACGCTGAACGACGTTTCAACCCGACAAAGGTCTGTACGACTGAAATTTTATCCAACTCTTCCTGTTGTCCTTTACCCAGCCTTCGGTGACGAAAGCATGCTCGTCGTGCCTCCATTGATTTCACCCACTTTCTCCGACGGCCAGTTTTTCCAAACGAATCCGTCGTTTTTGTGATACGAATAGCTTTTCCGGGATTTTCCCCGCTTTTCCGGCCTTTTCCATCCCTCCCGATCCTCCTTTCGTCATTTGTTTGAAAACTCAGTTTTCTCTCGGGCGCGAGGCCTAAAGGTTATAAACATGCTCGTTTCCTCCATTCTCTATCTTTTACTTCGGCCTATTTTTTCCTTTCTTTTACGAAATCCTCGTGGGAAAATAAACGGCCTCGATTTTTATCAGTAGAAAAGGCGAACAAAAACATACGACAAATGTCGAAAGACTCAATTCAAAACGTTATAAAATTAAAAAAAGGAAAAAAAAAGAAAAACTCATAAATTGACAGATAACCAAGACTTTTCCTCCCCCCGCTTTGATTCCGATCCAGTTTTTCATTTGTTTTCCATTAAAAAAAAAAAATAAAAAAAAATAAAAAATTAATCAATTTTTCTAATTTTTTAATATATTAAAGAGTGCCAGGTAAAACTAAAATGACAAAAAAATAAAATTTACCACCCCCTCCGCAAAAACAGCCCTCTCATGGAACAAAAATTCATCCCTGATTGTCAAAAATGGCGGGAAACCTCCATGTCATACATGCAGTCTAATTATAGTTTAAAAAAAGTAATTTTAGACGGACATCTTTTATTCTAGGTTCTTGATTTTTTTTCTATATTAAATGCAATCCTTGCGTAAAACATGTTCAGGTTCATCTTCGAGATCTTTAGGGCTTGTGTAGCACTCTTGTACCGGCTTTGGTCTATGAGTTATGTCCTTGGCTTCGTGTAAGTATGCTTTTTTCTAACACAACATACCAGACTTATCATTTACTCATAGATTGTGATTAATATCATGTTTATTATGAAACTGATAAATCACGATGTGGGCCAATAATTTGATTTCAATTATGAGCTGATAGTTGAAAACGAAAATCATTTGATCGGCAAGTTCCTAAACCTGCTTGGTTATCTTAAGCAGTGAGCGTAAAACATGTACGGGTTTGTCTTTATTAACACAAAGTAAAATAAAGATGGTTGGTTGATCACACGCAATAAATTCGCCAGAACCAACTTACTGCCTTGTGAAAATTGGGTCATGCTACTACCAACATAAGAATCTTAAAATTAAGTCCTTTTAGTAAGTTAAACGATTGTGCGGGTGCAAAGCAGAGTCAGTTTTGATGTGATCAGTTTCGATGAAAAAAATTTTGTAATATCCTTGTGTCTGCCGGGTGGTGTCTCAGATCTACCGGTTTCCCCGACCTCGTTGCTTTGGTTTGTCAGTATTTTCATGAAACAAAAATACATTTTTAATATATGTTCACAAATTAAAAAAAAAAAAAAATACAGTGGATATCATTTTCAACATACATGAAGAGACCATAGGTTTTGTACGTTGTAACCGATGTCCGCTGTATTGAATATATCGTTTACAACGTACATGTATGCTATATCCAATATGGAGCAATACGAGTAGATGTGTTGTGGAAGATGGAGGGGGATGGTAACCCAAACATAATGTATATACATATGTATATATTGAATGAAACAAAAAAATCTCTTTTAATGCATACAAAAATCTATCTGCATTCACATTCTTTCACTTAGGTAGGCTATAATGTAATTTTTTAAACATTTCCTACATTTGTAAAGAATTCAGTGATTTTCTTCTAGGATTTATTTTTACATTCTGTACAAAACATTGTCGATGACAAGATCGAAAATGTTTCTCTGACGGCCTGAGAGGTATCATTTGAATGTTTGTATGCCCTGAGTGTCGAGCGCACTGCATGCGATTCAGCAGTCGGAATATTGTCGAAATTTTCTGCCCTTCTGTTTCGGGTATGGATGCTGTGGGTTGCTGTACGACGACCTGAGGTATTCTGGATTATAGGTTCATCAGCCAATTCCTCACTTGTCATGACATCCGTCTCCACTTCAAGGAACTCGTCGATTGGCAATTAGCACTGATAACATACAATGCATATTAATAGTGCTGAAGTGAAGGTGACTAACAACGACCCAGAGGCAGAATTTGCGTCCGTTGTATGCTGTAACTGATATTTTTCTTCCCCCCTTGGGACCCAAAAAGTCTACATTGTAAACGGTGTTAATGTAATTTCTCCTATACCATTTCACAGTGCCGGAGATTTTGTATTCTTTAACCGGTATGTTCTATCCAATGTCATGGTAAACGATATTTGATTTTATCATAGAATAAAAATTTGAATCTTTACAAAATATACATTGAGAAAATGGTATAGTTATATTCTAATCTGACAGATCTGGATAGAGAAACCAACCAGTGCTGGAACTCTTTTATTTTATTGGGTGGGTAAAGATAGAAGGTCACGAGGCCATCGTCTTTTTCAACGCCGTTGAGGATTGTAAGGGCATTGAGGAAAAAATAGGATTAGTGGGATAGTTTCGAGTGGAAATTGAGGAAACGTGTTCGGATAAGGCCTTTCACAAAAGGATTTTTAAGATCTTTATGGATCATTTGATTGGTGGCGTAGAAGTGACCATTGAGGGGCAGGGAACTAGATTAAAAAGATTGAATTCGTTGGATGTTGAATGATTTGACCTAACAGTTCACAAAAATAACTTTAATGTTTAATGTTTGAATTGAGATAATGAAAGAATATTTCATAAAATCTAAATGCTTTTGACATTGAGTTGATGCTTTTGGTGTAGGTCTGCGGGTTGTTGAACTCTTGTTGAACTGCACTGGATGAATTGATGTGCCGGTTCAGGTTTTGGCAAAGTCTGCAAAAGTGATATTCAGTTTTCCAATTTGAACCTAATCCGGAGGAATTATGAAGTTTTAAGTGAATCACCGAACTTGAAAACATCTCATTCATCTTATTTATTTTATCTCTTGATAGACAATGATTAAAGATTTCATTGTTTTATATAAAACTGACCTTCAAGGTGGAACCAGCGTCAATCATTGTTAGGTACAACCTCCCAGGGAATCGATGATTTTGGCTTTGACACAGTGCTCATCACTTTAAGGTAAAGGTCTCAGGTTCGAATCCAGCGGCCCTGGATTCAAATCCGCCATACTTAAAAATGTCTTTTTTTCCCCTTTCAAAAACACAGACACCCCGAGGGTTGATAAGTTCTCTGCTGTTGCGAGCCCTTGAAAAAAAGAAGAAAAAAAACTTTCTAGATAGAATTGAAAAAAGGAAATTGGTTTATCAAGAAGGCTAAACAATCTTTTTTTATTTATAAATCCTACTTATCAGTGATTATCAATGTCTAAAACTTAAAGTTTGTTGCAAATTTGTTTATTTATTTTTCCCCAGGATGCCTGCACAGAGCGGGGATCTGATCGGGGCTGCCCTGCAGCACTCGATATCGATCGTGAAGAAATCAAATTCCAGCGATTCAGTCGATTGCAAGCTTCTCGCCAGTGCAAAGAGGGTTTTGACATCGGAGATAAAATACATCAAGACGTCCGGATGCGGCAACCCGACGCTCGCAGACCTCAAGTCAAAATACATAAGCCTCGGGCAGACTGCAGGAGGTCCGGCTACGCCCGTTAAGCCCACCCCGTCCCCTTCGACGTCTTGGACTTCACCTAGCAAAGAAGTCAAAGCGCAGGAGTTGCCACAGCCTAAACGGGTGCTCTATCCGCCTGATGCCGTCCAACTCGGCTGGAAGGGCAACGTACCTGTCGGCGCCGGATTTATCAACCTCGGAAACAGTTGTTACTTAAATTCAACCCTTCAGGTAATTTATAAAATTTATTAACAGAAATGATTAACATATAAGATTAACAAAACTGTTTTCAGGCTCTCTTTCATGTCCCGGCTTTTGTCAACTGGCTGTCAAGCGATTCGGCGCATTTTTCAAAATGCGAATCCATGAGTAAGTCCGACCTTTGAAATAATATAAAAATTATAAATATTAAATTGGTTTAAAAAAAATTGCAGATGGCCTCACACACAGCGAATGCCTTATTTGTGCGATGGCCAAAGTCCTTCAGGCGACGCACAAGTCGACAGGTTCAGCCATCAAACCTTTGGGCATTTATTCCAAACTGAAAGGTATTTTAATGATTAATTATTATCGAGAATAAATTATAATTTTTTTGTGTGTTCATTTAGCAATTTGTAAACACCTCGTACACGGCCATCAAGAAGACGCTCACGAGTTCCTTCGTTATTTGATCGAAGGGATGGAACGTTCTTATCTCTCACTTTTTAACGGAATTAAGTACGAAATTTTATTTTATATCATACAATTTTTGTACATATTTTAAAATAATATTTTAATTATTTTTACAGATTAGACAGTTATAGTAAAGAAACTACACCTCTGAACCAAATATTCGGTGGTTATATGAGGACCGAAGGTAATAAATATTATAGAAAACATAAATTAATTTTATTTTTAAAATTTTTATTAATAAATTTCAGTGGCGTGCTTGGAATGTCATCACATATCGACGACGTTCCAACACTTCCAAGACATCCTTCTTGACATAAGGCAGGCGTCGACAGTCGAAGAGGCCCTCGACGGTTATTTCTCGAGGGAGAGGCTTGGCGACGGTGACCAGGCTTACAAATGCGAACAGTGCAAAAAGCGCGTCGCAGCCACTAAGAAATTCTCAATCGAGAGGCTACCTAAAGTCCTGTGCATACAACTGAAAAGGTTTTTATTTAATAACAATAAAAAAAGTGTCTGATTATGTATTTCCTTCAGAGTCACTAGAAACTATCACTCCTTTGATATTAATTTGTGCACCGTTAATATTTTTCAAAGGTTGAACAACAGGTTTGATATAGTCACATACTTGAGCAACACAAAGTTAAATTAGTTTCTTCTAGTGACTTATTGTGGGAAATTACAGATGGGAAAACCGCTCACCCAGTGAAATCAGCTGTTTTTCATAGATCACCGCTGGCGCTTACCATAATTCCATGCGTAAAGTTTGCCTGGTTTTATGATTTTCGGTGTGCCAACGCCAGGGTCAATAGTAAAGATTGAATTACAGGGTGTTATATGTTTATGTGAAAAAAATGACGAACTGTTCAATGTTTTGTATTATTGCCCTTAATAAATTTCAATAACAAAAAATAAAGAATGCTGAACTTTTTGTTATTTTGTTCACATAACAGTTGTTAGACTTTTTAGGGTATTTTTTATGAAAAAATTAAAATACAATTTTAACAATTACAATAATAATTGTAATTTTTTTTAAAACTATTATTATTATTTTAATAAAAGGAAAAATTTAAAAATAAAAGGCACTGTAAGGGAAACAGAATTTATTCAATCCAATTATTTCTTTTCTAAAATTATATTTACTCTTCTTTCTTTTAAATTGAATCTTCAAACTTAAATTTTTACAAAAAAATAAAATCAATTCTTCTTGAAACAATAAAAAAAAACTTAAAATATAATTAAGAAGTATTTAAACTATTGTTAAAAAAAAAAAAAAAATTGTATGCACAATCCCCAAGGAATAAAATTAAGGAAATATGGAATAGGAAAAAACTCACACGATGAATGCCGTTTTCCTGATGTTTTCTCATAAGATGATTCTTCACAAGCCAAGTTGAAGCAGCTACGTTCGAGCTGGTTTGTTCGCACGCGTCTCCCCATGGAAAAAATCCTGTCCTCCGCCTTTCAGCCTTTCTGCTAATTCGAAACTGCTTCTGCTTCTAATTTGAAACAAAAGGGGCTACAATAATATTCAAATTAACAAGAGGAAAGATAAATCATAATAATAAACTTCATGCAGGTGCGACATTTTTTGTCAGTCGTGGTGGTCTACCACCAACTCATTCTCACGCGTTTTCATCCAATATCTCATCCTGATACTTTGAAATATGTGTGCTTTTGATAGATGCTCAAACACAAATGTTTAAACATTGAAAAAATTATACAAAATAACGAATAACAGCTAATACAAGATCAACAGACAATATAAATCTTTTGAAGTAAATGTAGTACGCATGAAAAAATGAAACCTGTGTAAGACATTACTGAGTACCGGTTGAATCATTAGGATTAGATGGATGTCCTCAAGGTTAGAGAAACGTGACCTAAAGAAGGTGAAAAACACCCGGTTCCTTGTCATGACACCTTTGAAGGACCTCGGCACGGAGCCTCGTAGACCTTGGACGAGGGCTGCCTCCACCAGCCGAGGACTCACAGGGCCATGTCGAATGTGCGATACATTTGCTTGTACAAAAACATTGTTTTTCACCAGTGTGATATTTTTGATACAAAGTCTCTACTGGAGATTTGCGCTGTGAAGTCATTAGTGGATATATCACACATGCGATATTTTTGCTTTGAAAAGTCACAGGTGAACATATCACATGAAAACGGAGGTTTATAGATTTTTTTAATGTTCTGAACATGTACTGATACACTGCTGAAGGTGTCATTAGGTAAATGCACTTTGATTGTTATTTATTGTTGTGTGATTACCAAATCTTGGTGGTCGTGTACAATATTCTGTTTTTGTTTTGTTCCATAGATTCGGTGCGATGGGCGGGAAAAATAACAAGCACATCGCGTTGAAACAATGCCTCGACATAACAAAGTACCGGCACAGGCCGCCGCCGGCCAACCAGACATTTAGGTACAAATTAGTCTCGCTTGTAACACATTTAGGACATTCGTCAAGTTGCGGCCACTACACGGCGGTCGGCCAGGGCTCGGCAGGCAGTTACTATCTTTTTGACGACAGCATTGTAAGTAAAATGATAAAATTGAAGAAAAATGAAAATACTGGTGTTTATTTTATTTTATTTTTTTAAATTTCAGGTAAGGGTGCTTTCAATTCCAAATGTTTTAAATAGTAATGCGTACATCTTAATGTACGAATTAGACAACAATCAGACACCTGTGAAGGATCAGTCAGTGACGCAAACAAACAAACTAGTCTTAGAAAGTTCCAATTTAACAAATGGTTTAAGTAATGGTATGTTTTTGTTTTTTTAAAAATAATTATTTTATCATCCATTCGCTTAAATGTAATATTGGTTTTAGGTTTTAGCCCCCAGCCGAGTAAGACGCTGGTGAATGGCGTATCATCCGGCAGTTGCACTACATACACCCAGCAGGAGAAATCAAGCCCGACGTTAGAAAGGTAAGTTTAGCCTTAAATCTGACTTTTCCTGTAATTAAAAGTGATTGTATTTCAGGCAGTCGCCGGTGAAAGTCGGCTCGGCGATTGAGAAAAAGACGGCGCTTCCTTTTTTGATAGAAGTGCCTTCGCCTTTCAGCAGGTCGCCCTCGCCTTCTAATACGCTCTTATTGACGCCGCCCGTAGCGAGAAAGGCGCCTTCAAAAACGCCCAGCCCCGTTCACTTTCAGCCGACGACCTCTAGGGTGAAATCGCCTCAAGCAGTACGGTAGGTTTTTATATGACAAAAAAAAAAAAAATTGTACATTGATATATTTTTTCTGTATTTAGAGGGACAGAAAGTCTAGTACCTTACTTGTCCGGTTCGAGTGACAGCGAGTCAGGAAGCCCGCTTAGGACCACGCCTGACACCGTACGCCCTGAAGGCCCGTCTCAACAGGAACAGCCAAACTCTCCCAAGAGAAAGCCGGTTGTGAAAGAGCGAGATGGCAAACCGAGGAAGAATGGCTGTCTCTGTGACACTGCCGAAAGAGAGCCTGGTAAAAATTACATTTGCCGATTTTCAGATTTTCGCTAATAAAACTTCCCATAATGTTTAAAAAAATTAAATTATTAATTAATATTTTTTAAATTAATTATCATTATGAATGCATAATAAGAAAAAGTAGTGTTGGAAAAAAAATCTACCCATAAAGGCAATTATAATAAAACCAGCCGATCTTTTATTTTTCAAGGTGTTTTGTAGAAGCACGGTTTAAAAAAATAAAATGCGATTCGACAATAGAAAGAGTGAGAAAAAAATTGATTTAATCTCGTCGTTTCAGAGAAATCGAGGTCGCCCAGCACAAAGTCGGACGACGAACCGACTCCGTCCGAGGAACTGGAACGAAGCTGGGAAGTGTCGTCGAGAACCGACGCAAACTCACCTGCTGGAAGCGTATCAAGCGGATGGTGGAGTGTCACTACCAGGTACATGATCTGCTTAATTAATATTATAAATTGCCATTTACCATAATTTATAATGTATAATCCAAATCATTGTGATGTCTAGTGTTTAACCATTGCTAAACTATCATTTATAGATATTATTTTTAGTACAATATCTGATATTTATTGTTAATAAACCATCTTCATTACATCAGACCTATCATCACAAACCTTAACCAGCTATCTATGATAGCCATAATGACTAAAAACAACCCAGCCTGACAATTTTTACATAATATTTTTATATTCCCCCCCCCAGCTCTGATAAAGAAAAGAGTCCTGAAAGGCAGGAAGAGAAAAAATCCTCCTCGTACCCATCCGACCGAGAGAGAAGCAGAGAAAGGAGCCACCAGGATAGGGACAGAGATAAAGAACGGCCTTGGGATAAAGACAAGGGCAACAGCACAGTCGATACGCTTACGAAAATGTCCCATCGGGGTTTCGGGCCATCCGGTAATTATTAAAGAAATTTTTGAATTTTTGTCAAAACTATTGTAAAATATTGTTTTTCTATACAGTGACTTCCTGGAACGGCAGTAAGAGCGAGCTGGACAAGGAGGTCGAGTCGGACAGAGTGTCATCGCTCAAAAGGCCGTTGAGCAGCTACGACAGTGACTTAGACAGGGGCCGTGTAAAAAAGGTCAAGAAGTACAACGGCCACGACCACGCCAAGGACAAGACGAACAAATTCCAAGAATACCAGAACCGGAAAAATGGCTCTAGTGGCTACCGGCAAAATAATTTATACCGTCAATACTCGATTGAAAAGGCAAAATTCAATAGAAACTACAGGTGGCAGCATTGAGGTATTGTAACTTTTTTTCTTTCGTTTCAATGTTAATTATTTATTCGTAAATAGAAGTGTACTCAAATAACTTGTTTTGTCACAAATAAATACACAAACTCATAACCCTCATAATGCCTCAACATACAAATTTTTGGAGATTTTGGCCAGGTGTGCAAAATTATGCAGGTTTTGAACAAGCAGTCAAAAGTATTTTTAATATTTATGAAATAAAGAAAATTATTTGAAATATTTTCTGTGCCAACATGTGACAAACGCTTTTATTCTGCTGACATAAATATCTTTATTTCGACTCACACTACAAGTCTTGGAAGGGGTTTTCGGCTTCGCCTCGTTCTCTAAAAAGTTTATCCCTCAAGAAGTGATTAAAAAGCCTAAAAAAGTGAGTCATCCTTAAAAAAAAAGTGAATGTGGTGGGTGCGGTAAGGTTTCATATCCTAAGTCCTTACGTTTCTGCAGTGTTGGCATTGCGACTTGTGCCTTGACATTATCATGAAGAAGAATTGGCCCCTTACGGTTTACCAATGGTTAGGTTCACCATAATTCAGAAAATTATAGCGAACAACCCCAGCAGTACACCAAACAGTCACCAACCTTTTTTCGGTGTAGATTTGGTTTCAGGAAGTATTTTGGTGCTTCATCCTTGTCCAACCACTGACCACGTCTCCTGTTATCATAAAGAATCCATTTCTCATTGCACGTGATGTTTGATCGAGAAATTGTGGCCCAACAGAACAGACGTGAAAATTTCAAACTGCCTATTTCTTTGGGCTTCAGTTAGTTCGTGTGGTATGCAATTCGTGACCTTTTTACTTTACCAATTTCCTCCAGATGGTGAACAATGGCTGAGTGGTCAACACTAAGCTCATCTGCAATTTCCTGTCTTGTTTTACATGTTTCTTCAATCAACATTTTGTGTTGGTCATCGTCCTTCCCTGTCTTCGAGACCGAAATCTCAAAGGCGAAATCTCTGAAACGATCGCTGCACCATGCATTCGCTAATGCTTCCCTGCCCCAAAGTATTGATGTAACATGCAGTTTGTGCCTCACTTTGCCCAGGTTTAAATTCGTATAAATAAATTCGTTGGAAATCTAGTTTGGAAATATTTAATTTCGCAGGTCCTCACTCTTACAAAATTCTATATAAACTAAAATGTTTTGTATAAAAGGTAACAGTTAAAAAGTATTTACCATAATGCATAAATTAGATTTGAGGATTTCGCTTTGTTTCACAATAAATTTCATCTGCAAAAATAAAACAAATTTTCAAAACCTGCATTAATTTTGCACCAATCCATTAAATAAATTGAGTTCTATATTTTGTTTTTGAGAGCTGGATTAATTTCATTCAATAGAGAAAATTGATTTGAGGTACGAGCATTTTGTCTTAGCTTGATTTTGGAACAAATTAAACTCGTTCTCAACGTACCACTGTACTTGTACTGGTTTTAATGTTCAGCTAATAAATATGTGAATTTTTTTTTTTAAATCCACTTCCTTGCTGTACGTAAGTGAGACCCCATGCCAGCTTATCATGACCATTCAATTGTTATTTTTAATTGCCAAAAATGGGATGCTCTTAAAGCCTTTTGAAAGACCTAGGGAAGTAACATAGATTTTTTTTCTAAGCTATTTCATTAGGGCTCCCTTTGTCATTTACTCCTTCACATATGTACATTAAAAATACAGACATTTATATGTACATGTATGGATAATCATACATTCAAAGGCAAAAAAAAGGACACTTGTATTTATTTGTTTATTTTCCATAATGACTAGGTATAAAGATTAATAGTTGACTTAAAACATAAACCAACATTAATAAATTATTGTTTATCTTTATAGAGTGTTTACTAATCCTTACACTCTTTAGATTAAAAAAAAAAAATTCATTCAATTTCATCTTTACCATAGCCAACTTTTCCAGTGAGTTAATTGGTTTTTTAAATTGTTTTCTTTGATGAAACAATAAAGTTAGCAAAAAATGATTTTTTTTTTAAATAATGATTTAAAGTCAAAAAGATTTCATCTGGATGTAGTGTATGTTACATAGCACAAGTCCTGGGTGTGCCGCATTCTACCATCCACGGTTGTTTAGGGCCACCAGATGTCTTGATTTATGAGAAGGTAGCATTCCACGATGTACGACGGTTAGAGACGATCGTTTTATTGTTTTTACTGTACTAGAGAACTGTCTAATGGCTTCCTTGATAGGTAGTCAATTGCAAACAGTCTGTCATGTAAGGGCGAGCTCGAAAAAAAATCATTAGGTTTCGTGAGAATAGCCTAATCTCTAGACGACCTGCTTCAGGTTAATACAGGAAAGGCATTGAGTAGAAAAGAGCAGAAGGGTCTGTTCTCTTCATAGATGAGAGCCAGTTTGGTTTGTGGCAATCAGTTGTTTCATCTAAATCACAGCTTTTTTCAAAGATAGTTATGGTATGGGGTTGAATCGACCTCGTACCGAATTGATTATCATACGGAATGGATCTTAGACTGCACTAACAAAGTTCTTCTGGAAGCTTTGGTCTCATTGTTCTATTTATTGAAGACAACTTTTTGTTATTGCACAATAACGGTCGACAGCTTCAAGTTGTAAATTACGTGGAGGAAAGAATTGGCGAGCTCGTTCTCCTGACATGATTCCCATAGACTTAAGGGACATGATAAAGAGACGGTCCAACAAGCATCGAACAGCTTCAAATCGCTTTTGTTAAAACAGCATTTTTCCATCAAAAGACAGAATCCGATCGCTTATTTACTCTAAAAGACTTAACGCCCTTTACAAGGCCAGATGAGTTAATATGCGTTATTAAAACTAGGTAACAAATTATTAGTTAAATTTTAATCTATCACTAAATGATTTCCTGTTATTGCGGTGAATTTTCTTTCATACCGTCATAATTAAATAATTTTTATTAAAACTCGTGAATTTCTTCTCATTTAATAAGCATGGTTTAATTAATATAACAATAAAAATACATATATTTTGAAATAAACAACAAAATATGAAGGCCCAATTTTTTTTTGTCGTTGAATTTTGTCTACATTTTTGTAGATCCACACATATACATGTATGTCATATGCACATAAAAAAATTCTTTTTCAAATTAGTAAAGGTTTAGTTTTTTATACACATTTATGCATATAGACACTGACGTATGCATAGGCACTTATACACTTCGGCGTATTGCACTAGGTTAATTTTTGTTTTTCTCTTGGTTTAAAATTGTAGATACTGCGATCGGCGTCGACCGAACTAATATGTACAAAACGATATTTTAACTACCTCCGTTGAAGAGAGAAGAAGAGGAAAAAGAAGAAAAAATGTCAGAGTGGATGTTTTTATTCTACCAGCACTTTTTTGGAAAAATTTCTTTTTTTTTGTTATATTATTTTTTTTTTTTAACTTATTGAATCATTTCAATGACTTAACCCATTTTTATTATAATCGACCTTGTCAGCCTTTGGGTATATACAGTCATTTTTTTTTTTTAAATTGTAGTAATAAAAATAATCAATAATAAAAAAGAGAAAAAAAAGTGTTTATTAATATGGAAAAAAAGGTGTATTGTTACACATTTTTTGGTGCGGTTCCTGTCAATGGTTTGTCACAATTGGTATAGTTTATCTTTCTTTCTTTTTTTATGTTCTGTGTACATAGATTTTATATAAATATGCTGTCGATACGGCTTTGTAAGTTGGGGGATTATTTATATCTTATTATAAATATATATGTATAGTTTATATTAAAAAAAGATAAGAAATTAAAAAAAAAAAATGAGCAGACTATGAAGTTAATAAAATGTACAAAAACAATGGGAGTTAAAAATTTTTTTAAAAAAAAATATTATATGCATATGTGACTTTTTTTTTTAAATTTCAGTTTGTAATAATTTTAATAATCTACTATTGGTAAACGTCTTGTCGCATTGTGCATCGTATTATCAGCATATGGGATCGAAAACAATTTGTCTTTGTCGGATTGTAATTTTGGGGACAGCCGGGCTCAAATCGTTCTCCAACTCTTCTTTTTGTCTCCTATCTTGATGATACGTCATCTATCGGTGACGGTATGTCATTACTACTCCATTCCACGATGTAATGAAAAACCTAAAAAGAAATGGAAAATTGTGCCTTTTTTAATGCAAAAAAATTGTTTCCCCCCTCTTCTAATCTTTGACTCTTAATCGCATTTGTACATAGTTTTTAAATAAATAGATGATGCTGCCCCTTTTAGGGAAAAAACTCAATAATTTCCTTTATTTCTGGTATTTTTTTTTTTTTTAATAAAAAAACAAACATGAGATCCTTAACAATTGGTAAATTGTGTATATACATAATATAGATCAAACCGAAGTATATTTTAAATAATTATGTATTATAAAATAAAACAAAAAATGTTAGGATGATTAGTTAATTTTTAAAAAGGGAATTGACTTTTTCTTTTCTTTTTCTGTTTTTTATTCTTTTCAATTTATTATATACAATAATGATTTGTTTAACCTTTTTTAAAAAAAAACAAACAACAGCAATATATTGATGATGTAATTATTTTATTAGAACATTTTTATTCGACAGAAGTGGCAACCAGTGTAATTAATTTTATTACCCCTGTGCTCAAGAAATTTTTTCACAACAATGAGAACTTTTAACAATTTGTATGAATAGTGGAGGGGGGAGCATATTAATACTAGATATCGGGGTCTGATTTTTTTTCTATGACTATATTTGTCAGGCACGAAAGGTGTATGTACCGATTTACAATCGATTGCAAATTATGTATTAAAAAAAATTTTTTAAACAAAAAAACCAAAAAAATATTGATGCAAATAAATAAAAACTGTTGAATTTCTCATGATGTGTTTGACTACTGCCTCTACTCCCCAGAATTTATCACAAATCATTAAGAAAATGAAATTTTGTCACAAATCTAAAACAGAAAATGTCATTGGGTGCCAAGCCTGAAACAAAATATTACATTTTCCTCCAAGTTAAATTAATTCGCCCTTATGAAACATAAAATGGCATTTGGTATCATAACATTGTACGATGTTTCGTACAGTTAACCACCCAACCTAGGGCTGTACATTGACAAAAGTCATAGGATCCATGATGCCTAGATAAACGATCAAACCTGACTCTTCACGACAAATGTACGATACAAGACAATAACATGCCATCGAACTGTGGGGTTCAACCAAATGTTTTCCAATCCAGCATCCTCCGAAAAATAGGAAACGCTCCTTTCAACAATCACATGATCCGCCACAGTGAGTTTAAAATTTCTTTTGTAGAAAATGTCATAAAATCCTGATACATAAAATTTCACCCTTTCATTACCCCCGAATCCCTTAGTTTTAAGCCAAACACCCCATACTATCTCCAATAATCCTAGGAGAATAAAACAGACAAGTCTCAATCAAGACCTGTTGGGCAGCGAGACATAGAAGAAGTGTTATCACTGTGATTCTCCATACCCTAGTGCTAGATTTTGTTTTTTTTATATAGTTTATTATAAATTTGTATTAACTATTTTACTTATAGTTTATAAACTCCTACAAACTAAAATAAAAAAATGACGCTACATTTCTGAAACAAAGTGATAGTGACACCATTTTTAGATTAAAAAAAAAGAAGACATTTGAATAACAATATCAACAGAAACTAAACCACCATTCTGAAACAAATTGGCTCAGTATTGACCCAGGAAATGACATTTTTGAAACAAAAGACGTTTGTAAAACAAACTTAATAAAATGATATGAAACAAAATCATATTTCTGAAAAAAAATTACCCACAAACTCCATATTAACAATGACACAAAGCCACCATTCTGATATAAAATGACATTTGTTAAACAAAATGACATCCACGCAGTTTTTAAGGACATTTGAGAAACAAAATTATATTTCTAAAAAAATTACCCACAATGACCGTACTGAAACAATGACACAAAGCCACCATTCTGATATAAAATGACATTTGTGAAACAAAATGACGTTTGTAAAACAAACTTAATAAAATGTTTTATATGATTTTATGATACATATGTCGTTAAAAAGCTACGTTCCTCTTTTCCAAACGGTCTGCCCGCCATTAAAATCCTTTTAGCCGTCTTAAATTATAGCCGTTTCAATCAGATATTTCGATAACGACTAATCAAAAATCGGATTAATTTTAGGGGTGAAAAAATCGCTAAATTTAAATTCAAACAAAAATTTATATTTATGGATCTCTGGAGGTTCTACAACTAAATTCCGTATTAGTTTCACGAGAAAAAAATTCTTATGACCTGGTTTACTTAAAAAATATTTGGTTTTTAGAGACGCTTTTTGGTATTGATAAACTTTTTTAGCTTTATTATTATTCACATAGTTGATTTTGAGCAAATAGAACGGCGAAGTATACTTCCCTAATAACTTTGATTGCTCATGTTTTGGGCTTGTACAAAAAATACCCGATCGGTTCCTTCGTTTGTTTTGGAGCCATCTGTGTACCGTATCATTGTATCTGATGCTCTCCTGTGATCTTCCTCTCCTTTATAGACCATTGAGACTTTATAGGAAGCTGTGAAGATTGTTTCCGGGATCATATAATCAGTCCCCATTTTTAATAAACGCAGTCACCATGTAGACACATAGTGGCACAAAGCCACCATTGTGATATAAAATGACATTTTTGAAACAAAATTATATTTATGCAACAAAATAACAAAGACATCATCCTGAAATATTTTGGTGACCCCCCACACAAAAAAGACGAGTACATTTCTTGGAGAGAAAAAACCACTGGAAAATAATATTTAAGACCAATCCCCAAAACATAAATGGCATTTTTGAAACGAGATGATGACATAAGGAAACATTTTGAATAAAACAGGCGCCTTTCGGAAAAAATACGTTTTTCATCATTATGAAACATTTGTGAAACAGTCACATTTTGTATGACACTTCAAATGGCATTTGTGAACCAAAATGACACATGAGCCTCCATCCAATGATATCAAACCCGTTATGAAAAGAAAAAATGTCATTAAGAAAGTCATTCAGTCACATCTGAACATGTCACGTAAAGTTTATATTGTATACTGAACCAAAAAGAAGCTTTTTTGAGTTGTGGACGAGGTACGGCAGAGTAAATAAATGATTTATCGCACAACTATTTCCCTCCGCTGTCGAATAGCGGTTTTCGACCGAGGATCAGCGAGGGCGTCCTTGGCTTTGTCTGATCCAAGGCCGGCTTTACGAGAACGAAAAGCCGTTTTATCCCAACGGTTTTAATAAGGCAGATGATCCAGAAATTAATCCCTTCCACCGGCCGTCTTCGAAGCGAGACGGTGCGCTGCCAGGCCATCAATCGCAGGCCCAAATGGATATCCCGGAAATTTTCAGAAATTGTCAAATTGTTTGTTTGAGACGACAAACATCAAGTGGTCATCGCTTGCCCTCTGAGTTTCAAAACTTTAAACTTTAATGTTTCTGCTGATTTGGGAAAATCTTGGAAGGATGTACAAAGCAGTACAAAGAAGGGATGTATTCTGACATGAGACTTATGGGTGAATGGTTTGCTTATAATCCACTATCACTTAGTAGTGAATCCCCAAGTTTATGTGGTTTAATATCCTGAGTTAAATTAAGAAGGATAGATAAAATTTCTATGTTGTGAAGTATGTTTTTGGTAAGACAAACCGTAAATAAAAACCGTCCTCTTGATTCAGGTCCTGTCGCCAGTAAAGGAAAGATCATCGTAATAATAAATTTTTTAAATATTAACATCCGCGTGCCCCTACACGCAAGTTCATTAAAAAATTTATGCGCGATAAAACTAAAAATTTGCAAGGAACTCGACAATCTCGAAAAGAAAATTGAAGAGATTTTGAAGAGGTCTACCGAATGATCTCTCTCTCTCTCTCTCTCTCTCTCTCTCTCTCTCTCTCTTTTTTCTTTTTGTCTTTCTCTACCTTTCTATCACACACTCCCTCTCGCTCTCTTCCTTCATGCAAACTATAATTTCTAGGGTACAAAAAAAAGTTCCCGCTTGGTCGCAAGTGAAAGGTTGTTTCAACATTACAATTCCGTTAGTTGGGTACTGGATTTGCCACCCTTCGGGTCAATTAACACAACTGTTACCATTTCTCGTGGAAAATGTTATTGTCCAGTCTGTCATCGATAAAATCACGTCTGTCATTGTCATCGTTGACCAGGACTGTTGTGGGACAACATTCTTCGCCTTGTATGGTCGCGCGGGGTTATTCAGCCTAGTGTAATTCTAATTATTAGAAATATTTATGATTAATTATTGATCGAATCGCACGTGGAGGAACAAAGAGGGAACAGGAACGGATTTTAACCTTGTGTTCTGTTTTCCGCCTGGGCAAATTCGTTGAAGATGAGACATGTAGGTGAGCGTCGGCCATTTTGAAGAAGAACTGGATCTTCCTTTAAACAGAGTCTATTGATGTACTTTTTGGCGGAGGTGGGAAGCTAGTTACAATTATTGACCGTATGCACCTGGGCGAAAAAAATTATAAAAGATTATGAAAAGAAAAAAAAAATAGGCGCCGAATATTTCCTGTTAATGTATTTAACCATCTGAAGGTCGGCCACGCCTAAGTCTCGGAGGTATAAAAGCACGCCACGGTCTGTCCTGACTTCAGACTTGACCTTCTTACCGAAATCGACACAGTCCTAGGAACAATGAGTCCGTTGGTGAGTGATTTTTCTAAATAATGTAAACCCAGAAAAGGGTTTTTAGAAAAGGGAGTTGAATGATGATAATTGGCCATTTGTAGGAGGTGCTCTTCTTCTGCTTGGTAGCTACCGTATCTGCCGGTCCACATGTGGCCGTCGGTCCGGCCGGCGTCTGGGGAGGCTCCGTCGCCGTACCCGCAGTTGCTAAGACTGTCGGCTACTCTACACACACCGTAGGAGTAGCTGCCGCCCCCGCTGTCGGCTATGCCGCCGCCCCTGTTGTCGCCGCTAGGACTTACGGAGTCGCTGCCGGCCCCGCTGTCGGAGTCGCTGCCGCTCCCGCTGTCGGAGTCGTGGCCGCTAGGACTTATGGAGTAGCTGCCGCCCCCGCTGTCGGATACGCTGCCGGCCCCGCTGTCGGAGTCGCTGCCGCTCCCGCTGTCGGAGGACTTATGGAGTAGCTGCTGCCCCCGCTTTCGGATACGCCGCCGCCCCCGCTGTCGGATACGCTGCCGCCCCCGCTGTCGGAGTCGTCGCTGCTAGAACTTACGGAGTAGCCGCCGCCCCCGCTGTCGTTTCTCACCGAACTGACGTCGCTCACGTCCCGACCACCGCCGTAGTCGACACCCCCACCGTCGTCCAAGGCACCGCTCTTTCAAAGACCGTCCACTACGAGAACCGCCCCGTCGTCACCGGCTACACCAGCACCGTCGTGAAGCCCGACCTCGGCAGACTCGCCACTCCCCTCCACACCGTCACCCAACAGAGGGTAGCCGCTGTCGGCAGGCCCGTCCAGACCGTCGTACCCCACGTCACCCAGGTCCAACCCGAAGTCCACGTTCAGAGAGTCGCCGTAGACGTCCCCGTCAAGACACCCGTCGTCAGCGAAGTGGAAGTCCGCACTCCAGTCGTTCAATCCGCCCCCGTCGTAGCCGCTGCTCCCGCCGTCGGTGTCGTCGCCGCCAGGACTTACGGAGTAGCCACTGCTCCCGCTGTCGGCTATGCCGCCGCCCCTGTTGTCGCCGCTAGGACTTACGGAGTCGCTGCCGCTCCCGCCGTAGGAGTCGTCGCCGCTAAGACTTACGGAGTCGCCGCCGCCCCTGCTGTCGGTTATGCCACCGGATACGCCGCCGCCCCCGCCGTAGTCGCCGCCGCCAAGACTTACGGAGTCGCTGCCGCCCCTGCTGTCGGTTACGCCACAGGATATGCCGCCGCCCCCGCCGTAGTCGCCGCCAAGACTTACGGATACGCCGCCGCCCCCGCCGTAGTCGCCGCCAAGACTTACGGAGTCGCTGCCGCCCCTGCTGTCGGTTATGCTACCGGATACGCCGCCGCCCCCGCTGTAGTCGCCGCCAAGACATACGGAGTCGCCGCCGCCCCCGCCGTCGGATACGCCACCCACGGCGTTGTCGGCCACCATGGAGTCGTTGCCAAAACCGTTTGGTAATTTCTCTAAACACTTCCCTTCTCCTATTATATAATAAAGTCTCACTTTTTTTTTTTAAATTTATCATGTCTATTTTATTTCCTCGACCTTACCCTCTACTAAATTTTAAGCATACGCAACAAGAATAGAATAACAATGATATTCTATTTTGGCTGGGCCTTCGAGAAAATGCCGAATGAATAAAATTTCTTTAATGAAATCCGTTATTACGTGTTACGAGCAGTTTGAAGACCCAGCAAATGCTTTAATTGCTAAGGACGATGTTCAAAATGTCAAGGGCGAATTGTATTTCGTTAAAGCTGAGCCAGAGCTAAGCACTCGGCCTTTATATTTATATAGTTTTATTTTATTTTATTTATTTATTTTTTGAGGGGGGCGAAAATACCGATTAAAAACCGCATCCAAAAAGTTTTTCGTTTTTAATTTCTAGAAAACGTGCTTTATCTAGTCGAGACGAAGGTCAGCGCAGCGCACCAGTCCCACCTTAGGATTGATTTATTTTAAAACGAGATCTTTTCCCTTTGTATCATGATACAGATCAAACACTTTCAAGGTTGATTCCGCCTTAAGTTGTCTTAACCGCCTCGCAGACCCGGAACCAAGGGTCGAACAGCGAAACAAGACGGACCCCGGGTTGTAAACGGTCCGTGATTTAAATCGGCTATTGCAGTTTGCCAATGCAACTTTATTTGTTAGTGGGGCGTTTATTTCCGTCCGGTCGGATTGGCTTGTAGCCATCGCCGTCACGAACCTACAGCGAGGACGGGCGGACCCAGAAAATAAGACTAATAAGACAATCCGATTAAAGGTAAAAACAGATATTACAGAGTAAATGGAGGCATAGTCCCTTTAAAACTGACTTGGAAATGATTAAAAAAAGCCATATTTAATATACATATATTAACATAAAATACAATGGGTATATAAATGGTCAATTGGCATATTAAAAAGGACGGTTATACAAATATAAATCGAAAAAATTCCAAAATAATACAAAGGACACGAGATTTTTTATTTACTTCTTGTCTTTTGAATTGTCCAGGCTGGACGAGATAGGAACAAAAATGAAGACATGGCGGTTTTGTTACGTCGAGGTCTCGTCGGCTGTCGTTCGTCCAGCCGTGGTATCATCAATTGCTTCAGTTAAAATTCGTCCAGTGATGGCATCATCAATCGCATCAGTTTTTGCAATTCGTCCAGTGATGGCATCTTCCATCTCATCGGCTTTTGAGGTCTGTGCAGCCGCTGCATCTTCCGTCGTGTCAACCTTCAAAGTTCGTCCAGCCGCGGCGTCATCCATCTCGTCGCCCTTTTCCGCTTTCGGCTTCCTGTCGTCGCCGTACTGCTCGTGCAGTTCGACTAGCCTGCTTGAGATGATGTCGCTCCTTTGAGACGTCTGGCTCATCTTGCTGAAAAGGCCTTTGCACTGTTCTTCCAGCCGCTGGAGCCTGGCCTGCCTCGCATCCAGGATCTCTTCTGCCGTCCTCGGCTTTGCAGGTTCTTTCTCGACTTTGTCTTCTTTTTCTTCTTCCTTAACGTGCTCTGGCTGTTTGGGCTCTTCGCACCCGTCATCCCAGGCGAGGACTTTACACGGGTCTTCTTCCTCGACTATAGGGCTTTTTTCCTTCTCTTTCCAATTGTCTTCTTCGTCTTGCGAGTCGGAAGGAGATTCTTCGTAGCCGCTCTCGGCCGAACTAATCTGCTGTTTTCTCGAGGCGAATTCCGTTCTGAGGACTTTCCAGTCTTCTTCCGTTTTGGTATTTTTGGCACGTGCGAGGGCCCAATTTTCCTTGCACTCTTCCAGCTCCCTTTTGAGGTCTTTGAGCATGTTCCTCTTCTGGGCTAGCTCATACCGAAGGACCTTCTCGTGCGTATGGAGCTGTTTGTGTTGGGATTTGAGCTTGTTGACAACGCCCCAGGTGGTGTGGAGCTCGGCTGCGACGACGGCCAGCCTACTCTCCTGCTCCACGAGCCTGTGCTCGAGGGTTGTGTTGAGGTCCTTGAGCCTGCCGACTTCCTTGACGAGGGAGTTCTTCTCGAGGATGAGGTCCTTGAGGCGGAGGAAGGTCTGACTGACGCTGATGACCAGCTTGGGTCCAGACGGCGTCTCGACGCTCTTGTAACAGCTATCTGGCGGAACGTCCTCCGGGGCGTGTTTAACATGATGGCCTAGGAGTTCGACGAGCAGCTTCCAGACTTTGCTCAGGTGGCTGGCTACGTCGTCTTCCGCTTGTTCCGCGTTGGGAAGGTCTTTGTTCTCAGCCAGGTTGAGCAGAGTGCTCGCCAGGTCGTTGATCTTACCCGAAGCCGTCAAATGGTTCACCAAATCGTGGTGCTCTTCCAAAACCCTGGTCACTCTCCCAACGCTATCCCCGGGAGAGAGTACTTGACCGAACAGCTGGTTAACGATGTCCATCTGGGCAGAGACGTTATAAAGGTCTTCGGACTTTCCGGCTAGCTGGAGTTTCAAGTCGCTGATCTCGGCTTTGGCGGCGTCGAGAGCCGTGTCCAGTGTGGACACCCTCTCCTCGAGCTCTTTGTTCCTTTCTTCGACGATGGCGATCTGCTGTTCCGCGATCTCTTTCCTCGAGTCAGACGCGACCACCCTGGCCCTCTCCCTCTCAATCTCCATCTGGTGACTGATGGCCACCGCTCTCGACCTCTCTTCGTACAAGTCCCGGAGCCTTCGCATGTTCTCGACTTCCTTCTCGTACTGCAAGCCCGTTTCCTCGATGGCGGCGAGTTTCGCCTTCAGCTCGTTTACCTGCGATACACACATCTTATACAAATTTAGAAAAAAAGGTATGCAAAAGAAAACAGGTGTTTAAATATAAATTGATCGTAGCCGATCTCCTGGTCTACTCATTTTAAGTGTTATGTCTGTTAAAAGCGTTTTGGCACTTGCTACTTGTATATTACAATGTGTAGCATATTCCAGATAGTCTAGGTTCTAACAGTTCGATCTACCATCTAGTAAGGGATGTCTAGTGATGGCTATGAATGGTTAGCGATGGTAAGTAAACGCTACGTATGGCCAGTTTGAGATAATTAATGAAAGTTATCGATGCCCAGTGAGTTATGATTGGTTAGTGATGATTATGAATGTTTAGTAATAGCTATATAGACATCACAATAGTTTGGATTAGGGAGGAGATAATTATTGATAGTAGTCAATGTTGGGTGTTTGTAATGAATGAATGGTGAAGGTGTAGGGTTGGCAGGGATGTTTTGGAACGATATATTTCTGATCTCTATAGAGATTAAGCTTCATAGGAGCCTGACAGGTCCTATCAGGTATTTTTGGTTGGGGATAAGTACATAGGGTTCAAGATGGTTTATCACCATCACTGTCTGTGATAGGGTTGATAAGTCACCCAACCATCACTGAAGATGGAAAATGGCGAAACAACGATACTTGGGCCAGGACGATCGGACGGTCTCACGGCGTAATTCCGCGCGTCGCCAAGGGCTTAAAATCGAACGTCTTTGTCATCTTGGCTCGTTCAATCGTAAACATCAATTCAACAAGCAAACAACATAACAGAATTCCCTTGGATATAAATAAAACGACGCATCTTTTACTTCTTTGCCGATCAAGAGGGTTGTCCAAGCGTCTTTGCAAGTTCAAAGGTCTCCCGTGGTGACCCGTTGCCAAAATCTGAGGATCATGACCAATGATCAGATTCGTACAATAATCCGCTTCACGGCTTGCCAATCCCTTTGTTTATAAATAAACATCGTGTATTTTTAAACCACCCTCTAAGGACAAGGTTCGAGATTTTCACCGCGGGGGGAAGATTCATATGATGGATTAAAAGATTTTCCTTAATCCAAATGAGTTCTTTAATCGTTTTTTTAAAGCTTCTACGTTAATGCTCCTGTTTGGCTCCTTTCCAGGATTTAAATTGACGCGGCTGACGTTTAAATACAGTCGCGGATTTTCCAGGCTGTTTAAACCAGATTAAAGAACGAGGAAGGGTTTCGCATCCGGTGCGGGAATAAATAAAGGAAGAAAGCTTCTTTCTGGCACGAGGTTTAGGAAAAAAGGAAAAACTTGAAAAAAAAACTGGTCGGGGTTTTTTGTGTTTATTTCGAATTTTCACCTGCTGTTCTCTGATTTTCAGCATGTCACCTCCGATTATCGCGACATCTTTGAGCGCTTTGATCTGCCTCTCGAGTTCTTCGAGTTCTTCTTTCTTTTCCGAATCGATTTCGACTGATTCCTCGCAGTCTAGTTTATGTTTTAAAGTTTCGTTTTCTTTTTTGACCCTTTCGTTCTCCTCTGTCAACTGGGCGATCCTGGTATTGAGCGACTGGATCGCGTCGTGTCTTGCCTCCCTCTTTTTCCTCAGTTCCTCTTTGAACCTCTCCATCTCTTCTATCCTGGTCTTTTTACGTTCCTCGTAGTCGTCCGGGGCCGGCTGAAAGCCAAACATTTCAATTTGAAGAAATGGTCTTGAACAATAAAAAACACCGGACTCACGTTTTCCAACGGCCCGTCGGACTCTTCGTGGACCTCCCTACTCCAAACTGCTCCCATGGCTTGCGCCGGCTGAAAAATATAGGAATTAAACCGTAATTAGCGAGACGTGACGGTACCACCACCACTCGTCCCTTTGAAATGAATCAAAGCTTTAGCAGGTGCAATGTATTTCTACCGAGGGAACGTCTACAGGAAAGAAAGATTTTGGCACAAAATGAAATTTGCCTGGAAAAATTGATTTTTCGAAAAAACCCAATAAAAACTGAACAGCTTAGCCACGCCTACTTTGACATAATTGGGATATTAGTTTTTTCGTAAGTTTAGCCACGCCCACTTTTTTTTATAATAGTACATTTTATCAATTTACTCAGGCTTACTTTGAACATTAATGTACAATTGGACAACCAGATTGACCACGATATCTTTGACGCAACTTTTGACCAAAAAACGACCAATAATTTTATGTTTTTGTAAAACAAAGTGAAACAAAATATTTTAATTTTTAATACTTGTATCGTTTTTAATGACAGACCGGGGAAATTTTCGATTGATTTCGATCTTCCATGGAAAAGTCAACAACCTGCAACCAAGCTGAACGGGATAATTTCCTCCATGGTTTGCCAAACGGGCAAGTTGCAGCAGATCATGGAATTGATTTTTTTAAATATACGACTACCCAAGAAACTACATAAGCACACAATATTATGCAAGTTTAACATAGGGCAAATTAAAATACGTCATTTGAAGATGAATCAAATGACCTCCATCACCGCCCGCACTCTCAGGTGTAATTAACGATGTCCATTTGTTTTCAGCCCCCTAAAGCGTTCAAGCCGAGTCATTGTTTATTTACGCTTTTGCCCGGATTTTATTTCGCAATCTTGTTCAATTACGCTCTAAAATTGGAGTATTTGTCGACCTGCCAACATCGCCTGGACCGTGAATGGAAAAATAAGCACCTTGATTAAGCCCAGTTTAAAAATTTGTCAGCTTGGGAGTTTATAATAAGACAGAAAGAAGGTCAGTAGTTTTTTTTTTAAAGAAACAAATAATGTAATCAATTTCCAGCTATAGCCGGTTCTCGGGTGGTCATTATTCTCCTTAAGCATACTTCCACCCGTAATTTTATTACTTCATTTAATGAAATTTTGAGCACTTACCTTTCATATAAGTGTCGTTGGGTTTAAGGTCGGTTTAGAACTGAGGAACCCTCTCGACTCCCGGTGCTATTTCTGTTCGTAGCTCCCGCCTGTGGTGGGAGGCCGCTTCACAAATATACGGATGACGTCCGGTGCAAGGAGACTGACCCTTGTTCCTGGTCACGTGGTGAAAACAAACCGTACGGGGTGCTGGAAGGATGCGTTCGGATGGAGTATGACGGAACGAAATTTTGACTTTGAAAAATGTCATAATCATAAAGTGATTGTCGCTTGTAACTCGGAAATTTTAGGATTTACCGTTCAGTGCTGACGAATTTTCGACTTTGGATACGCACTGTCCCCGAACCGAACGACGAAAAGAAGCTGCTATTAAATGAACATTTCAATAAAATTAAAATAAAGAAAAGGATATTTTCCTAAACATTGGTAAAAAAATTTAACATTTAAACAAACCTAAAAACCCAAAAAACCTATCTGCAAGCTTCGCCAATAGCAAAATCTGCTAACCAGGTAAGCCATGCCCTGAATAACGTCGTTATACAACAAATCTGGCAAGTTATCCACTCCCTTGTTGACGTCATTAGACAATACGTCTACGATATGTCACTCAGTTTGGCTGATCCAAATTGACGTCATTAGACAATATGCCTAAGATATGAACTTGTTTGGCTGATACAAATTTGACTTCATTACACAATGTGTCTAAAATATGTCAACCTGTTTAGCGGATACAAATTTGACGTCATTAGACAATGTGTCTAAATATGTCAACTGGTTTGGCTGATACAAATTTGACGTCATTAGACAATGTCTAAATATGTCAACCGGTTTGGCTGATACAAATTTGACCTCATTTGACAATGTTTCTAAGATAGGTCAACCTTTTTGGCTGATATAAATTTGTCGTCATTAGACAATGAGTCTAAGATATGAACCTTTTTGGCTAATACAAATTTGACGTCATTAGACAATGGGTCTACGATGTGTCAACCGGTTTGTCTGATATAAATTTGACGTCATTAGACAATAAGTCTAAGATATGAACCGGTTTGGCTGATACAAATTTGACGTCATTAGACAATGTGCGTACGATGTGTCAACCGCTTTGGCTGATATAAATTTGACGTCATTAGACAATGGGTCTACGATGTGTCAACCTTTTTGGCTGATATAAATTTGACGTCATTAGACAATATGTCTAAGATATGAACCTTTTTGGCTGATATAAATTTGACGTCATTAGACAATATCTTTCAGATATGAACCGGTTTGGCTGATACAAATTTGACGTCATTAGACAATGTGCGTACGATGTGTCAACCGCTTTGGCTGATATAAATTTGACGTCATTAGACAATGGGTCTACGATGTGCCAACCTTTTTGGCTGATATAAATTTGACGTCATTAGACAATATGTCTAAGATATGAACCTTTTTGGCTGATATAAATTTGACGTCATTAGACAATATCTTTCAGATATGAACCGGTTTGGCTGATATAAATTTGACGTCATTAGACAATGTGAGTAAATATGTCAACCGGTTTGGCTGATACAAATTTGACTTCATTTGACAATGTTTCTAAGATATGTTAACCTTTTTGGCTGATACAAATTTGACGTTATTACACAATGTGTTTACGATGTGTCAACCTGTTTGGCTGATACAAATTTGACGTTATTATTCATCATCGTACAATTTATCTTCACTCACTTTGGCGCCATAAGACACTCAACATCCATTTTAGCCAAATTTACTTCGCTGTAATTAGACAATTTGTCTATGATAAGTGTTCATGCTTCACCAAACCAAATTTGACGTCGTTAGAATATATATTGAACTATTTATCTTCACCCAACGCCATTAGACATTTAAACTCCAGTTTAGCTTTGGTTTGGTGACAATTTATACAAGCCATTATGATGACCATTAAATAAATAACCAACACTCTAAACCTAATTTTGAATTTCCTTTTGTATAAAAGAAACATTAAAAGTCAGCACGTTGTTGAATAGGTTATATTACAATAGTTTTTTTATTGATCAGTAATCTTTACAAATTTGGAAATGCCTGGCTAGACAACAAACCTAAGATACGAATATGTATAATTTATGAGTTGTTCCGGATGAAGATGTAAGCCTACATGTTGTTGCTAGATGATGTATCTTCAATTTGAAAGATGATTCGTTAACCCATGCCAGGCGTGTTTATGTATCCTGATGGTTGATAATTCATACATTAAAATTGATCTTTATGAACCACTGATTTAAGGTAAGTAACCATTGACATAAGGTATGTTAATGAGTGAAAGGGAGGGTTTTTCAAATTGGCATCCCTGCAAATGACAGATTGAGCTTTGTTTTTGTCACTTTTGTCATCAGAAACGTGTGAATAGATAAAAAGGTCAATATTTTTACTCACCGTTCTGCAGGCAGGCTAGGCCCCGAGTGAGCCGGCTACGGGAAGTGATCGGGGCCAGTCTCCCATTTACGGGCATAGACCTTCAAAATGAGAAATTTTTCGACGCGCAGTTGTGCAACGCGTTTTTTCTCCTCGAAAATCGTTTTCCGTTCCGCGTCTAATATTAAAAACCGCGGTTGGGCCATTGTTCCGAAAAGGTGTTGGGCAACGGCCAGCCCAAACAGTCGGAAAACGGATGACTCAAGTTCACCCGAGCTGTTGCACCCATCATTATAAATAAAAAAGGTGAATAACGTGGTTGGATGGCAAATGTTTAATTTTGCTACTTTGCTAAGAGAGTGAGTAAATTACGAAGAAGCAGAAATTCTCAGCTCATAAGGCAATTTTACTATTACTGACAAGTATTGCGGTTAATTACAAATAATTACAGACAGCAATGAAAGAAAAAAGAACAGTTTAGCATAGGAATTGAAAAGAAAACAATACACAGAACGTGAATGTGCCTGGTGAAATCGTTACTTATAAAAAAAAAAACAAAAAAACAAAGCCAATGCCCAATAAATAATATGAACTACCTAGCCACGCCCACTTTGACGTCACACTTTGACATTACCTCATCGTAATTAAATAATTTGTCATGTAATCAAATAGTCATATCCGCATTGACGTTATTAGACAAAATTTCTGACATTTTAGCCACGCCCACATATAATAATAATAATAATAATAAATGAATAATCATGTAATTATCAATTTCAGCGATGACATTGAACAATAGACATACCAAATTAGCCATATTCACTTTTAGGTCATTAGACAAAATTTCTGACATTTTAGCCACGCCCACTTTCAATAATAATAAATGAATAAAATATCGACCAATCAAATTTTCAATAATTGCTATGACATCATTGAACAATTGACCAACCAAATGAGCCATATCCACATTTACGTAAGTAGGCAAAATTTCTGACATTTTAGCCTCGCCAACTTACAGTAATAATAAATGAATAAAATATCGACCAATCAAATTATTAGCATCTGCTATGACGTCATTGAACAATTAACCAACCAAATTTGCCGTATCCACTTTACGTAATTAGGCAAAATTTCTGACATTTTAGCCACGCCTAATAATAATAATAAAAGAATAATCTTCAAATTATCAATTTCTGCTATGACTTCATTTAAAAATTGATCAAACCAATTACCCACGTTTACGTCGTTAGGCAAAATTTCTGACATTTTAGCCACGCCCACATATAATAATAATAAAAGAATAATGTTCAAATTATCAATTTCTGCTATGACTTCATTTAAAAATTGATCAAACCTATTACCCACTTTTACGTCGTTAGGCAAAATTTCGGACATTTTAGCCATGCCCACTTACGGTAATAATAAATGAATAAAATATCGACCAATCAAATTATTAGCATCTGCTATGACGTCATTGGACAATTAACTAACCAAATTAGCCATATCCACTTTCACGTCATCAGACAAAATTTCAGACATTTTAGCCACGCCCACGTATAATAATAATAAGTGAATAATCTTCAAATTATCAATTTCTGCTATGACATCATTGAACAACTGACGGATCAAATTACCCATATCCACTTTTATGTCGTTAGGCAAAATTTCGGACATTTTAGCCATGCCCACTTACAGTAATATTAAATGAATAAAATATCAACCAATCAAATTATTAGCATCTGCTATGACATCATTGAACAATTGTCCAACCAAATAAGCCATATTCACTTTTAGGTCACTAGACAAAATTTTTGACATTTTAGCCACGCCCACATATAATAATAATAAATGAATAATATATCGACCAATCAAATTTTCAATTTTGCTTGACGTCATTGAACAATTAACCAACAAATTAGCCATTTAACGTCATAGTCAATAGACTTTTGCTGCAATTAACCGACCAGAAAGTCACGTCCACTTTGCCGTCATTTAACTACCAACGACTTGACTATCAACGTTATTACTGATCGTCAGGATATGAAAGTTAAACGGACGCTCTTTCGACGCCAACATTAAAGAAACTAACCTACCAGGTTTATGCCAACATTGACCTCATTGAAGTATCATACGACCAATGTTAACTCCAACATTGACGTCACTGCCCAACTGACCGGCCATGCGATGACAAACCATTACTGATGCCATTGAGCTTTTCAACTCCAATAATGACGTCATTGGGCAATTTGCTGAGATTTGAACATTTCCACAATTGTTCCTTAAGAAATGCATTGGTGGAAATTTCATTCTTTTCTCTGCTTTCCTACATTTTACACAAATACATTTTATATGAAGTTGATTTGAAAAAGTTGAAGCTTAATTGTAGGGTTATCGTTGTGATCATTTCACCTTCATAAAGAATTCAATTGCCGGGCAGAGCGTTTAAACGCTTCTGAGAGTACGTGCAGACTAAAGACAATTTCGTTCTAGTCAAACCAAGATTGAAATGATATCACATGTTATCACATGTTGAAAAAAATTAAATAAATAATTTGTGCTGATATAAACAAAAATTATAACTCAATTAATTAAGGTTTTTAGTTGAGATAAAAAAATCAATGTCAAGAGCGGGATTCGAACCCACGACCTTCGGCTAGATACGCCGCTACTCTACCACCTGAGCTATCGTGACTTCGATCCACTCAGACACCAACTTCCCATCTGAACCCCATCTTTTGAATTTTCTCTCCTTTTTGCCATTTTTCAAATGTCGTGTAATCTATTTGATTCTCGGCGACAAATGAAATGGCCACGGAGAGCTTTAGTGAAGTATACTTCATTTTAATTCATTAAATTCACTAGTTAATACCGCGACTTCTTCTAGGGTCTGCCTATTTTTCTACGTTTCGTCTATGAGGCTCGTTCGTATAGGTGGAATGTTCATCTAGGATTTTTTTGCCTTCTTTTCTCTATTTTTTAAAATGATTATTCGGAAATCGTGAGATGCGGACTGGTGTGATGTAGGTTTCAGAAAAACATTTTTTTCATCGTGCCAACGTTTCGACCTTTATTGAGATCATCTTCAGGGCCTGGGATTTACAAACATTGTTTACATTTAACAAATATATGTTATCGATATTGAATTTGATTAATGATATTGGCGTAGCTGCGACTGAGTGTCTGTTCAGTAATTGATGCTGTGTTTATCTCTGTTGATGTAAACAATTTCTAAAAAGTTACGTTTATGTTTGTTTTGTTCTGTGTGTAATATTTTTGGATTGTAGAAGTCGATATTGTATTTGTGTTCAAAATGGTGGGTAGCGAGTGCTGAAGGATTTTGCTTGGTTTTTTTGCAACCATAGATATTCACTAGTTTTCGTGGTCCGCTTGACCAATTAATATCTTTCAATTAATTAAGGTTTTTAGTTGAGATAAAAAAGTCAGTGTCATGAGCGGGATTCGAAGGTGGGGTTGAGATGGGAAGTTGGTGTCTGAATGGATCGAAGTCACGATACCTCAGGTGGTAGAGTAGCGACGTATTGAGCCGAAGGTCGTGGGTTCGAATCCCGCTCATGACATTGACTTTTTTATGACAACTAAAAACCTTAATTAATTGAAAGATATTAATTGGACCACGAAAACTAGTGAATTGAAAAAAATATAACCTACACCCGCCATCTTTTGGAACTCTTGAAGACTAGTGCAGTTCGGATGAACCTCTAGAAGATGAAGGATGGCCTAGTTTTGATTATTTTTTCGTGTTTGGGTTTAATTGGTTGAATATCATGAAATACTTGTCACTTTTTTGTCGTTACAGATGCTCAACTTGATTGTGATCACCTATTATTGCTAGTGATGAGAAAGTAATGGGATTTCTGCTATAGACTGTTAAATGTTGTCATGATTAATAAAATGGTATCTTAATGGTATTAAGTTTGCAGATTGTTTGTCGGGTTAGGGATGGTTACAGAACGATTAAAGAGGTAAGCTATGACCTGCTTGTAGATGGGTTCGCTAGAGTACGCTAGTGTGTATATAGAATCTTTTGGTCATTCGCCCACGGATTGTTCAATCGAGGATAATATGCCTATTGTAAGTTCTTTGTAATATTTTTATTTACCAATAATATGTTAGTTGACAATAATGTTGATGAAACTACTGACGTGAGTAGTTTTATGTTTCAAATTGACAATCAGGCTAAACGTTAATTTAAAAAACGAACAGGAGAAAGGTTTGGAATATAACATATGTTCTCTTATTCCTAGACGTTTGTCAAAGTTGATACGAAGTTTTAATACATAAGCTAGAAAAATAATCCGGAAACGTTATTTTTGACCTCTTAAACAACTAGACGAATATTCTGATTTGTTTGGAATTAAGGCTACCACAAGGGCCAAGGCTTCATGCTGTACCTGGTGTATACAAGTGACCTACCACAGATGGAAAACAACCTCGCAACATTTGGCAATGACAGAAAAGTGCATCCAGGCATCCACGAACCGACTCCAAAGTCAACAGCATCCATGACCGGACAGATACTTGGAAGGTCCAAATAAACGACCGAAATTCGTAGATGTAAATGCAACAAATGGTAAGGTAATCCATCCCAGAATTCAGTTATGACTTGATGAAAAATTAAGTTCGAAAGATATCAAAAGGAAAAGGGAAAGAACTTGATTGCTTTCTGGGAACGAATTTTCGACTATCATTATGGATGTATGATATATCAACCTTGAAGTTAATTATTTAGAAATGGTGAGATGCGGTCTGGTGCGATGTAGGTTTCAGAAAAACATTTTCTTTATCGTGCCAACGTTTCGATCTTTATTGAGATCATCTTCAGGCACAAAGTGTTTGTCTTCTGTGTAATGTGTGGTGATTAGTGATCGTTAATGGATATTTATTTAGAAATCGTGAGATGCGGTCTGGTGTGATGTAGGTTTCAGAAAACCTTTTCTTTATCGTGCCAACGTTTCGATCTTTATTGAGATCATCTTCAGGGCTCAAAGTGTTTGTCTTCTGTGTAATGTGTGGTGATTAGTGACCGTTAATCGATATTTATTTAGAAATCGTGAGATGCGGTCTGGTGTGATGTAGGTTTCAGAAAATCTTTTCTTTATCGTGCCAACGTTTCGATCTTTATTGAGATCATCTTCAGGGCTCAAAGTGTTTGTCTTCTGTGTAATGTCTGGTGATTAGTGACCGTTAATCGATATTTATTTAGAAATCGTGAGATGCGGTCTGGTGTGATGTAGGTTTCAGAAAAACATTTTCTTTATCGTGCCAACGTTTCGATCTTTATTGAGATCATCTTCAGGGCACAAAGTGTTTGTCTTCTGTGTAATGTGTGGTGATTAGTGATCGTTAATCGATATTTATTTAGAAATCGTGAGATGCGATCTGGTGTGATGTAGGTTTCAGAAAAACATTTTCTTTATCGTGCCAACGTTTCGATCTTTATTGAGATCATCTTCAGGGCACAAAGTGTTGTCTTCTGTGTAATGTGTGGTGATTAGTGACCGTTAATCGATATTTATTTAGAAATCGTGAGATGCGGTCTGGTGTGATGTAGGTTTCAGAGAAACATTTTCTTTATCGTGCCAACGTTTCGATCTTTATTGAGATCATCTTCAGGGCCTAAGATTTACAAACATTGTTTACATATAACAATTACATTTTGGATGTGGAAAAGTGAATTTATACAATGCAAAATATTCATTCATATATATGAAAGTAAATCCCAGGCCCTGAAGATGATCTCAATAAAGATTGAAACGTGGCACGATAAAGAAAATGTTTTTCTGAAACCTACATCACACCAGACCGCATTTCACGATTTCTAAATAAATATCGATTAACGGTCACTAATCACCACACACTTGAAGTTAATGACATACCAAAAGAAGTGTGGTATTGGAAAATACTTTATGATAAATGAATAATAGAAAGATATGTGATGGCTGGACGATACTTTATCGTAGGGGATCATTCAAACGGGCAACACTGGAAAAACTGTTTTATAAAATACCTTGTAGCCCCTGGTGGCTGGAAACATAATACAAAATTAGCGGGTCCCCACATAACCTCCTTTGCAGTGCTGAAGCACGTTATAATACAACTATTTAAAAAATATACCTATACTAACAACGTTAAGTACTGAAATAAATCTTTTTTGAAAATGTACAATTCTTCCACGGGGTGATGAGTCTTTGGCGCTCTGTGGTTGATGACGGTCTTGCTGCTGAGGTTCGCGCGTTGATATTGCTCGTAGTTGTTTGTTGAGGTGTTGCTGTTGCTGCTGCTCTGATTGTTGGTACTGTTGTAGTTGTCATTGTCAATTGCTGCTCTGAAATGTTTGTAGTTGAAAATATGACTGTGGTTGAATCTGTTGTTGTTTCTGTAGCGTTTAATAAGTTGAAACCCTAGAACTTGACGTGACGTTTGCATTTGAGATCTTTGATGTTGTTGCTGACTTTTAAATCGGTGTTTGTTGTTGCTGCAGTTGATTTTGAGGTGTGACTTGGGTGATTTGATGTTGCTGGACCTCACGATTTTGAGATTGAAGGTACACGTTGGGACTGGAGAGAATCGTGTGGTGAATGCAACGTTGAATCGATGTTTGAACAATCTGCTGTTGATTTGCCACTTGATGTTCTGATCCAGGTTGACGGTCGTGGAAATTATGTTGATCCTCATTGAGCGTCGGGTGCGGACGAGCAGGTCTTCCTGGGTGTTGTAGCAGGTCATTTTTCTGAATTTCTGTTTGTGTGCTGTCCGATGGTCATTAGCTTTCCGATCAGACGTTCATTTCAAAATGCGTGCGGCTAACGGTGAGAGTTCAATTGAAGAATGAGCTTAAGTTAGCTAATAGTGCAATGACATCGTAGGTGTGACCAAAAAGCTAACAACTAACCGTCTTACAACTTCAAAATAAGGCTAGCGAAATTGGTGAACCGAATGTCCAATGACACCAAGGGGATTAAGGTCATGCTGGCTGACCAATTGTACAAGGATTTCAAAGAGGGCGTGGCTAAAGATCATTAGATATGACGAAGATTTCCAATATTTAACTTTCTTATAACTGCAAGATGGGGTCGGCCAATCTATTGTCCAATGACACCAAGGGTCATGCTGGCTGTCCAATTGTACAATGTTTTCAAAGGGGGCGTGGCAAAAGATCCTTATTATTGTACAATGACGTCAAAGTGGGCGTGGTTAAAGGTCAGTATTTAAAAGTAAGATGACATCATTAGATATGACGAAGATTGCCAATACTTAACTTTCTTATAACTGCAAAATGGGGTCGGTCAATCTATTGTCCAATGACACCAAGGGTCATGCTGGCTGTCCAATTGTACAATGTTTTCAAAGGGGGCGTGGCTAAAAGTCATTGTTATAGAATCACCAACTTATCCCATCGGCCAACTGATACACACGGTATGCCTATTAGCACTATCTACACCTTCAACGCCAACCTAATCACGATGCCAGCCGTGTGCTACATAGTCAGCACATCGTTACGACTGAAGAAGACTAAGCCATTTAGGTAAATTCCGTAAAAAGTTACGCGGTTAGCCAAACTGTACAAATTATGACACTAACGAGTGGACTAATATGTATTGGACGAAATTAGCCATTGGGAAATTAATAGATGATAAATTCTCAAGCTATTTTATCAAAAATATTTTTTATTTAACAGAGTTCGTTTTTCACAATTGAATTTATAAATATAATAGCTCTGTATGTTGTAGCAAAATTTACAAAGCTTTGTGGTTAAGATATTTTTCTTAGGTTTAAAAAAATTGCGATAGTATTTACATAGTTTTTAATTACATAACACTGCTTAAAATGGGTGAATTTCCACTGTTATGATTGGGAAATGTACGTGATTTCGTGCTTTCTCGACGGTGATCATGATTTAAATCGCCACTTGAGCCCGAGGTAAAAGACGACCCTGTAAAAGAGGACCATCGCGACAAGGGTGAGCACTTCGGACCAAGGCGAGACACCTTGCAGCTTGAGGTAGTAGAGGGTGACCTCCGGGTCCTGGAAGTGGCAGTAGACAGGGTCGCTGCACTCCAGCTTCTCCCTGTTCATGCCGAAGACGGCGATCACGAGGGCCGTGACCCCGGACCGCATGAACGACAGGTTCAACAGGGGCGTCATGTACTTCGGTATGTCCCGGGCGAAATCGAAGCCGTAAATGGCCAGCCCGAGGAACGGGGCGATCGAAAGCGGTCCCACGGCGGCTCCGTTCTTCAAACAAAAAAACAAAATTTTAACGCATTTATTACAAATTTGAGATGTATCGGGTTGAAAACGTACCGTCACACTGAAAACGGAACCGATCGCCAGGCCGATCCCGTCTGCGACGAAAGCGACTGACAATCCGACTGCGACGAATACAAGAAACCTCTCCAATTCCATCGGCAGCCCGGAAAGAGGATATACTATCGATAAATATATCAGATTGAACAGGGCCTACAGATAAACAGAATATTGTACAAAGAACAAAAAATGTTCTGAACAAAAGTCCTGGATAACTCACGATTCCTGGAACCCTGGAGAACGTCAGAGCTACGTAATAAGGAAAAAGGCCGTACCACTGGTTGAAAAGTTCCTTCTTGACCAGCTTAACCTCAAAAGGATCTGGAAAATGTACAAGGATTAAAGTTTTAAGAAGCAACAGGGTTGTTCACACTTGTTACATGTGAGTATAGGGCCCATGCACTGTGTGTAAGTGTGGAATATGATGACCCCGATGCAGAACTTCATATGGTTGAAGAACTGGTTGCCGTCCTTGGCCATTTTGTAGAACATGATCGCCAGGGTGAGCGAGCAGAAGAGCGTGTTGCCCAGTTGAATCCTCAGTCCGACCTAGGGCGTGACAAAAACAACTGTTATATTTTTTCGTGTTTTGTTTAGTACAATTGTTTACTTTATTTCTTTTGATCTGTAGAAGCATCCTTGACAGAAGGGTGATGAACTGCATCCAGCAGGAGACAGGGAGGTGCGAGCAGGAGCGTTTGTCGCAGTCGTCACCGACCCGGCCGTAGTTGAAAAGGTCGACTGTGTCCGTTTTGTCACCGACGGCGTACTCTCGCCTGTTTTGCTCAATCGATGAACTGCTGAACTTAACCATTTTACCGTTGGCTGTCGCTGTCGAAAGACGGCTGATGTTCCCCTCGTCCTCGGTCAACTCGATGACTGCGGTTGGGAAAAGAGGCAAAGTTAGATGCGAGGCGAATTGAAAGTTGATCAAGGAAATCTTATGATAGACAAAATATTAATCGGGAGAGAGTGAGAGTGTTTTTGCAGGGGTAGAAGAAAGGGAAATTAAAAATGTGAGTGTGGTGGCTGGTCGAATTCAGTCATCAGATAAATATGAACGCTGTTCATTCATATCTGTTTACCAAAATCCGCTGGGTTGTAGGTTGTAGGGCAGTCGAACCCCTGCTGGGACAGGAACGGGACCAGCTCTGCAGATGCGCCTTGGTAGACGCAGTAGCCTGCCGCAAGGACATAGACGTGGTCGAACAGCTTGAACAAACTAGCTGGAGGCTGGTGAATCGTGCAGACGATCGTCCTCCCCTGGTGGGCCAGATTTCTAAGCAGACGGATCAGATTCGACGTCGACACGTTGTCCAGTCCGCTGAAAATCAATTTTTTTTAGCAAAAAATCTTTATAAATTTATCCTAGGTCTGAAAAAACCTTGTAGGCTCGTCTAGGAAAAGTACAGGCGGGTTGTTTATCAGTTCGAGGGCGATGGACAACCTCTTTTTCTGACCTCCTGAAAGCGAATCCGTCGGGGTTTTTTTACACTCTTTAAGTCCTAACATTATCTGTATCTCGTTTATCTGAAAAAAATTAACAAATCACTATGACAGAAAAGGACATGAGTTTCAAAATCCTTACCACAGTCTTTTTCTGCTTGGATGTGTAAGACGAAGGGAGTTTCAGGGATGCGGCGAAGGTCATGACCTCGTTGAGCGTCAGGTGCGGGACGAGCAGGTCTTCCTGTGTAATGTAGCAGGAGGCCTTTCTGAATTTCTCTTTGTCTCTGGGCTGTCCGTTTGTCATCAGCTTGCCGTTCACGCCGGCAGACCTTAATTGAAAAAACAAAAACAAAAAAAAAAAACTCATCAAGGAAAAACCAACGTGAACCTGCACTTTTTTTGTACAGTGCCCCTGCTTACATACGCACTGCTCTGATCTATCAGATGGAGGGTGAGACCTAAGTGACACCTAACCAGTACCGTGGCATCCGTAGGTTCCCACTACATATGAATTGGTCGTAATCGTATATAATCTTATTCAGCTCATATCTTATTTTGAGTTATTCTAATGAAACTCTGAGATTTCGAATATTCGAAAGATGTTCTGATAGTTTACTATACTACAGAATAGTGAGCAGTTTTGGACCAGACTTGATCCACCGTTTGTTTTGATTCAATTCCCCTTGGGATTGATCAAACAAACAGTCGTTAAAAGGCCGATGGTTTAATCTCGCGCTCTTTCACGTCTTTTTGGAATTTTTCTGTTGATGTCGTTAGCGTCGATTAGCAGGTCCTTCGGCGTAAACAGGACGAGCGGGTCCTTCAAGGACCAGACGCGTTTCGTGGCTTTCCCAATAGGAGTTCTTCTTCTTTTGTCCATTTTAGCCTTTTGTACTCATTACCTACTACTTACCTTGATAAAGAACATGCAAAGAACATACATTAATGATCCTCATTTACGACGATGAAAGGACGTAATGAATAATTTGCAATTCAAGAGTGAACCAAGTCCTTAATAGTAGACTCATTTAGTTAATGAATATTTACAACGTCTAACACTCGATTAAGGCTTGTTTACATTTTTTTATGCAATGCTTGTCTAAACGAAAGTGAATATTTATCGTCTCGCTGTTTCGAACGTTGAGATGAACCCAGGGGTTTTTCGCTTTTCACCTTATTCTGATACGAGACGCTGGTGTGTTTATGTAAGGCGATTAGGACTAAAACAATAGATAAAAAAACATAAACCAACCTATAGCCTGAGATGGCGTTGAGGAGGCACGTCTTGCCGGCACCAGACGGACCGAGGATGGCGCTCAGGTTGCCAGCCATGAAACGTCCATTGACGGATTTCAAAATAGTCCTTTTCCCCTCTGTAAACAAAGCAAAAGTCAATAAACAGTAGTTAAAGCAAGTCAAACGAATGAAAATTGAGATAGCCTGTGTGGTGAACCTATTCGGTCGTTTCCGACCATCTGGTAAGCCTAGCATCGCTGTTTTGGTCTAAGAAACGCGTTTCGACTTTTCGCCATCTCTGGTGATGTTGTAAAATTATAAGTAGTTTTTAATCTTCTCTAACCCATATTATGTTGAAAACTGGAGTATAACTATTGAGAACCATTACATAGCTATGGTAATAATTTCCAACCGTACGGGCCTACCTAGGCTTTTAACCCATCGGGTCTTGGTCGCCCACCCTGCATAATATATAATAATAATTTTCAACCATGCTTAACAGTTTCTACCGACCATTCCTAACACCATCTTCAATAAATTGTAACAATCAATAAATCAAATGTAACTAATATTATCATTTTCTCTGACAGACAAGCAGCACTTAGGGCCCTAGCCTTATGCGGCCTCATGCCTTCTAAACAACCACACAAGACCGCATCTCATGATCTCCAAATAAACATTAATTAACGGTCACTAAATACTACACATTTAGGCTTAGATCTAACCATGGAATGTATGAAATATATCTCTATAAAATAAATCAGCAACAGAACGATATATGCGAATTTTGGAACGTAAGATCTGTTCAATGTATTTAACCTTAAGAAGTCAATTGTTAGATAAATTATATGGTATGAAGGAGGTACCCAAACCCATAAAATATAAGTCAATTTTAGCTCTGAATTCTAGTATATGGCCATCTGCCAATTTTTTATAAGTGTAATTTGAAAATTTGAATAGGATTCACTACTCATTCGTATTTTCCAGGGAGGGGTGTCTATTGGGGGCTGGAGTCGGACTCGGTGGGGTTTTATCCACATCTCAAAAAAAACAACATCGGAATGGATTTAAAATTAGAAAATTTTGATGCTTGTGAAGTTCAGAGGGAAGTCCCTTCCTTTTCCCTGGTTGTTTGATGCGGCCGTGTTGGTGGCCTCTGGTCCCTTGTGGACACATCCCTCTCCGTGTTTGTTCTTTGGCTAATGTGGCTAAAGCCAAAACTATCTGTCACCAGCTCTAGTAGCCTCCTCTAGGGATAGGAATAGGAGATACAGGAAGATGTCATGTATAAATCATGCCAATTGATGCCACTATTCCAAAATACAATTTTACTAAAAAGTACAAAGTACCAGAGCGGGAAGATGGGCCAAAGGAAGGAGGAATGCCAGACGGATCAAAAACCGACTAGGATACGGGAGCTGAGTCTTCGGGATGAAACCAAAGACCGAACTGACGGTAAACCTAGGTAAAGCCCTGATGGAGGTTAGTGACTCTAATGACCTGACCCTGGCATGGGTCCCTGACCATTCTGAGCATGGAGGAAATGAAAAGCTTGACATGCTGGCCAAAAATGGAGCCAACATGGACTCTGGGCCTTGAACCCTGTGTAGCATTGCTACATGCATGCTGAGCACAATTTTAAAATAGGTTTCTATGATGACACCTTCCCCGAGAAAAAGTCAAAAAAGCGTTGTTTGGAAATATTTTCATGCACTGGAAAAAGGAAAACAAGTGGCAACTTGTAAAACATGCTCGAAAGGATTCAAAACCTTATTTTTTATAACCCCATTATATCTCGAGGTCCGATTGACCAAATAACTTTTTTCAAGAAATTAATCTTTATGTACGGTATTGGTTGAAATGAAAAAGTTAGTGTCACGAGCGGGATTCGAACCCACGACCTTCGGCTCAATACGCCGCTGCTCTACCACTTGAGTTACCGTGACCTCGATCCACTCGGATACTAACTTCACATCTCAACCCCACCTTTCGACTTTTCCCTCCTTTTTGACATTTTTCAAGTGTGCAATGTATTCGATTCTCGGCGACAAATGAATTGACCACGGAGAGCTTTAGTGAAGATATACTTCATTTTACTTATTAAATCCACTATATTTCGTAGTCCGATTGACCAAATAACTTATTTCAATTAATCAATCTTTATGTAAGGTTATTCAGATATCGTGAGATGCGGTCGGGTGTGATGTAGGTTTCAGAACATTTTCTTTATCGTGCCAACGTTTCGATCTTTTATTGAGATCATCTTCAGGGCTCAATAAAAGATCGAAACGTTGGCACGATAAAGAAAATGTTTTTCTGAAACCTACATCACATCCGACCGCATCTCACGATATCTGAATAACTATCGATTAACGGTCACTAATCTCTACACATTTATGTAAGGTATTGGTCGGAATGAAACAACAATGGAAAATTCGAAAGGCAGGTTGATGTGGGAAGTTGGTGTCCGAGTGGATCGAAGTCACGATAGTTCAAGTGGATGAGCAGCGGCGTGTTGCGCCGAAGGTCGAGGGTTCGAATCCCGCTCGTGACGCCAGCTTTTTCATTTCAACCAATACCTTCCACAAAGATTAATTTTTTATAACCTTCATCTATTTTATTTTATATATTTTTTATTACTACTTAATAAGAAATATATAATTATTCATGACCATGAGTATATTTTTACTATTACTAATATCGTTCTTTTCTACCATTTGGGCTAGCTCCTATCGATGTTATAAAATATTCGTCATGCACCTAAAGTAAAAAATATCGATATATCGATATATTTTTCACGATTTGTCGGTGAAGCCGAAATATAGGTTATACTGATATATCGATTAAAGATTGCCATCCCTAGTAGCATCCCTTTTAGTTTATTGATGACCAGCCCTTGTCGAAAGCTTATGAGACATCAATGAACATGAAAAACATGAACAACAACAGCAGAACAAATTTGCTTTTCTTCAAGAGATTTTTCTCGGTGATTTTGGTCTGTTGTTGGATGTCTTTTTCGGAATTGTTGTTCAGGGATGTTTTTCTTTTTTCTACAATGGGTTTTATTCTTTTTAATAATAACTATTCAAAAAGCTTAGAGACTATCTGCAGTAACGATATTGGTCCGTATGATTTGACCTCGTTCGACGGTTTTCCCTTAAAAAAAAAATCATAATGACGAATTTCTGGTTCTGCGTATATATTTCAGTCTGATTGCAGTAGTTTAGCTTATCTAGCTTTTTCGGCAATTGTTTTAGTATTTCTTTAGTGTTAAGGTCATATCCTGGTGTTTTTTAGCAGATGTAATGCCACAGCAGCGAAACGACCCAACTACTCATAACAAAATATAAATTGTGAAAATGTTGACGCAAAGGGGATAAAGGAAGTCTTTGGGACTAGGAGGAAAATTACGCATGTAGAAACAAATATGGGGAGAAAGCACTTCAGATAGTTTTTCAAGTCGTTCATTGAGAAGGCGGATGTGATCCAGATGCCTATGCTTCTTTAAAACTAGCCGGCATCTCTGCCAAATATGTTTTAAAAAATAGACAGATTTGGTTTTTTTTTTCTCTTTTTGTTAAAGGTTTGGATAGTTTCAGTTATATCGGATCAGATTTCAATGGCCTTCCTTCGTTTTTCTTTGCGCACAACCGTGGTTGGAACTGTCTCGTCATAATTTGGCCGTGATGATTTCGACCCGCTTCCAGGTTCCTCGGGCCCGGTTTTCTCCAAAAATTACGAAACGCCCGTTCAAGTTTCAAATGTCGAGATTGCACCAGAGACCAGATGCGGAAGTGCCCGACGGCGCTCGGGGGTCCGCGTGTCACCGCGCTTTGTTTACACGGACGTCCTTGGTCGAGGTTGTTGGTCGGCCTTGGCCTCCAATCGAAACCGCGCGAAACGGCTTTTTTCCATAACCCTTTTCAGTCCTTCTCACCTACTTTCTTCAATCCAGTTGATACTAATTCATTGTAACAAAATTACATGCTGAAAAAAAAGGTGACTGGTTTTAAATCCATAGACAGGTTTTACATATAATCCTACATTTTGACATTTTAAAACGCCTCTGGTGGTCGATAGTCGATTTTGTAATCTATGAAACTCATAAAAAGACCCTTTTTATTGTACCTCTGATGGTATGTAGAAAAACACTTATTCTACTTAATAGATTTTTTTCAAAATCAAAAGCTTCTAAAATGCTGAATAACTTGAACTTATTGAAGTTTAACAGAACCGCTCTACGATGATGATGATGAGGCGAGGAGGATACTTGGAAGATGGGTTTGTGCTCTCCAGGCACTGCAGCTTTCTGGCTTAAAGTGGCCATTCACGATCACTCCAAATGGAACCGCACTAAGCCGTACAGCTCCATTTGGAGTGCCTGAAATTTTAACGTCAACCTGTGAATTACCTTCTCAAAATGGATGACGATCTCTTGTGCTACGCTTTTGTTTATTTATTTAGCAAAAAATCGAAGAGGAAATGGTGTAAGAAGTGGCTCCTGAACAGAAGCCGTAATACCCATATCAATTTGACGAAAGATCTTTCCCTTGAACTCGCTGATCGGAGGAACTATTTAAGGATGAATGAAATGTCTTATTTATTCATTATATTTAGTGTTCTGACCAAATTACTTCTTTTAATTAATTATTCTTTTTTGTAACGTTTTGGTTTGTTATTTTGTTGCATAAATATAATTTTGTTTCAAAAATGTCATTTTATTTCACAATGGGGGCTTTCTGCCACTATGTTCTACATGGTGACTGCGTTTATTAGAAATGGGGACTGATTATATGATCCCGGAAACAAACTTCACAACTTCCTATAAAGTCCCAATGGACTAGAATGGAGAGGAAGATCACAGGAGAGCATCAGATACAATGATACGGTACACAGATGGCTCCAAAACAAGGAACTGGATCAGGCGTTTTTTGTACAAGCCCAAAACATGAGCAATCAAATTTATTAGGGAAGTATACTTCAGTTTTTCAAGCAGAAATACTTGCCATCAATGCTTGTGCCCTGGAAAATCTTAAAAGAGGTTACTCTGATAAAAAATCATAAGATCAGACAGCCAAGCAGCCATTAAAGCATTAGCATGTAAAAGTATCACATCAAAATTAGTCAGTGAATGTAT